AGCAACCCGACTGACACAGACTCAGGTCCTTTCCTGAGTGCCCAGAAATCTAGTCCACAGCCAGGCATGGGTGATACAGAGGCACATTTTCTGTGCCAACCCATGTCTCTTAATGTTTCTGACTCTAGATGTTCTTTCTGATTGCTTTTCTTGGTCTCTGTATGGCTATAACTGTGGTTCTTGATATTTCTATTAACTCATGCTCTCTTTTGATGAACAAAACAATTTCATGCCACAGAGATTCTGTTACACCCCTCCAGGGGCACACCTGCCCTTGCAGAATGAGCATTATGGGTTTTGAACACCAAGACAAAAAGCCAAGGTCATGGCTCAAGCCCTGTGCAAGCCAGTTATCTTCCTTCTGCTGCATATATGCAAATTCAACTCCAAGCCTGATCTGTGTGCCCCCAAATGGATGCATTATGTCAGAAGCTACCCCGGGCAAGGGAGAAATGGATAGGGGTAATGTAACCAACCACTTTGAAGGAGGTGAGGGTTGATGAGCACTCAGATTTCATTTTGCTTTTATAGATGCATATAATGATTCATTTATGATCCAGAATGGAAAACAGATTCATTTGAGGAATGTCACTGTTTTATCCTCCAAATCAACATGTCTATTTAGACAAGCCTATCTGAATCCCTGTTCTATGTCAGGTTCTATGTTAAGTGATATACAAGACCCAGTATGAGCCTTCTATGAAATTATTATAAAAAGACAAGGTAGGGGTAGGGAGGGAGAGAGAGAGAAGGAAGGGAGAGAGAGAGAGAGAATTGACCCTTCCTGAGTGGATTAGAAAAGACTTCTGGAAGAAGAACATCTAAGCTGGAATTTAGAGAGGAATATGAGTTTGCTAAGCAGATAAAGTAGAGACAGGCAGGCAGATGGGAACTACCTGAGCCAAGGCACGGAGGCGTGAAGTGCAGTGTGTTTAAAGAACAGTACACACACAGCTAGCTATTACCAGGGTACACATTCTGCGGGCGTTCATGTAGGAAAATGACAATGATCAATCACTCTGAGTACATGAGGGCTTGGTTATTGCTCCATTTACTTAAGTGTTTACAGAGCTCTTGCTAAACAGAGGGATTTAGACCAGGAGCTAGGAGCTGAGGTAACAAGGGAAATAAGACATGAATCTACAAAACGACCTTGTAAAGTAAGACGCTTTCCATAAGGAAGGACAACATCAGACGATTATTTCATTCATTCATGTTCATCAGTAATAATGGATTGCGTTCTAAATTAGCACCTACCAACATAAATGATGATAAGACATGCACTTGAAGAGCTGGCAGTCTAGTGGAATAAACATGCATAAATAGAACACTATGTTACAATATATTCAATAAATGACATGATAGTGTTTACTGACTGCTAAGTTCTGAACTTTAAGTGCTTTATATTGATTAATTTAATCCATCTTCACACAATATTATTATTGTCTACATTTCACAAATGCAAAGTAGGGGCCAGAGAGGTTGCTTAACTTGCTCAACCTAGGACACAGCTAAGATTAACATCTAGGCAATTTGACCCCACATTTTTAACCACCACACCAGAGAGCGGTAGAAGCATGGAAGAGAAAGATGTAAGTCAGCCTAGAAGGAGCCAGGGAAAACTCATCCTTCCTCCCCACTAGCAGTAATGTGCTCTCTGAGGTCTCTAGGGAATATAAACACAGTTTTTAGAATCTTAGGAAATTACCAAGTTCATGATACCAGATTGTGTAACATCTAGTTTTAAGGTCAAAAGGGTAAGTAAATTTTTCCCCAAAAATTCACCTAGGTTATATTTCTCACTCAAATGATTGTAATTTTTCCAATGCCCACCCAGTTCAGCCTCCTCTATCCCCATAAATACCTAAATCTCATTTATGTGCTTCTAGGATCTTTTATCAAGAGAAATATAAAGTTGATGGGGAAGGTTCTGATGTTTCTCCTCGGGGGTCTTCTTTTTGTGGGCTCTCAGCATATTATGTTATATAATACCTTCTTTGGACCACTTTGAAAATTCCCGGCTGGATTTGTGTACTGCTAATCTGCTATTTGTCAGTCCCAGTGTCCTGTATCAAATCTGATGAAACTAGAATTATAGTTCTCATTCAAATTACTGCCACTTTTCTGACTCCCACCTAATTTGGCTCCCTCATTCTCATAACTACCTTAGACATTGTGTTGGCAAATAAAAAAAAAAGGGAAAGTTGTAAGAGGTTGCAACCTTAATTATCTTGTTATAAAACCTAATCATAAAGTAGGTGGAGAAAAAGTCAAACAGGAATGTCCAATGCCAGAAGATGGCCTCTTCTTGGAGGAGGAAGTCTGTGATGGTAGGGATAGTATTTGTCTGCATATTACAGAACCTGACTAGAATGACCTAAGCAAATAAAAGGTAGGATTTTTGTTGTAATATAACCAGATGCCAGGCTCCTGTTTTCCTACTCTGCTGTTATCTTTGCCAGATTTCTGATATATATTTGGGTTCTAAGCTGTAGTCTAGACAGCAAGAAGGCAAAGGACAAAGGATAAATGGAAGAAGCTAGCCAAGTCTACCTCTTTTGAAAAAGTTTTCCCAAAATTCACACACTTCAGCATCTGTTTAAATCTCCTTGGACAGTGTGGGTCACGTGGCCTTCCCTAGCTGCAAGAGAGTCAGAGCAGGTCAGCGTATTAACTCAGCACATACCATGTCCAGACAAAGCAAGGTTTTATTAGCAAGGAAAAGAAGAGTATGTACATTGGGTTAGTAACTACCAGTGTTTGCCACATTATTCTAAAGTTTTCTAATTAAAAAAAAAATAATACAAGAGAAGAGAAAGGAACAGATTACAAAAGCCCAGGGAATATAGTCAATTGAATAAAGCTGAGCCCAGTGTTTTTTAAGTATTTCCCTTTTATGCTACTTAGCATAGTTAATTCATGGGCCTGAATCTCATGGGAGAGCAGGAATTAGACAGGCTTGGGGAAGGCAGGGAGGGAAGAAAATATTCCCAGGTAAGGCACTGAGGTGTGACACACTCAGCAGGAATTACAATCCATTACATATTTCCAGAGAATAGATTGTAAAATAAGGAATATCAAGAAGGTAAATGGGGCCAGATCATGGGAGGTTTATATTTATTTGGTATAAGATGAAAGGCAGAGATAACTCAGACTTAAATTTTGGAAAAGTCACCCTTAGTGGTGCATAGGATGGAATCAAGCAGATAAAGCTGAAGGTGAAGAAACAAGTTAAGAGGCGACTGTTAATACAGATGGAAGATGCTCAGGGCTTGATTTTGGGTGGATACAGAGGAGTGCACAAATGTGAGGAATTACTTCTTTGTGTATAAGGGAAGACTTCTTGGAGGAGGCAGCCTTTTATAACTGCAAATAAATTCTTTTATGCCTAAAGCATCTATCTGCAGAGTCTGAGGCATCTTTACTTCATATGTTTTGTAGAAACTTATGGGATAGAAGTTATTCACTAATTAGAAACTCCTTAACAACTTGTTCTACTATAAGTAAAATGATCTGGAAAAGTTTTTTAGCCACAGGCTGAACATTTGAGATAATCCTCAAAACCTAAAGGTAGGAGAGGCCTGTATCAAGTTAATTTATCACCTCAAAATTAGTTGTTCTCTAACTCCAGTGAGTATCTACAGCGCTGGGTAAAGCTACAGGTGCAGGGGCCCACCTTAGCACTACTGAATCAGAATACCAAGGGCGGAATTACCTGGGGATGGATATTTATAATAAATTCCACAAGACATGCTAACGTACACCAGATTTGGGTCATCAGCATAACGAGGCTTACAGGGGATGACTAGGACCAACAGCAAATGTATTGACTAGAAAGAGGCCTTGAGATCCAAGAATGTACAGTTAAGAGGCAAGAGACAAAAATGCAGGCAGAAAGGCCAGCACTCATGTAGAAGGGCAGAGCCATGGGACTTGGCTGCATAGCCTGCTAGGACTTGAGCAGTAGGTAGGTAGGAAAGTGGAAGGGGCAGAGGCAAGGCTGGGCTAGGGAGACTAACAGGGATCAGGCATGACCATTTTAGAGGCTGGGGGGTACCACATGGCAATGGACAAAAATCTTAAAATCCAAAGGGGTATGACAAATTTGAGGTCTCAACTTCCCAGACAATTCCATAGCTATGCTTTTGTTGCTAAATCAAGACAAAATTCCTCTCTGTATAAATTAACCTATATGCTGGACTATTTGTTGGTAAAAATGAGAATTTAGAGATTACATTAGTGAATAAACAGAAAGAATTTCATCTCCCACCCCTTAGAACAAACCAAAGGAATATCGGAACAGTTCTGATGAGGACACTAGGAGATTCCATGCATATGATTCCATGTTATCAAGCAGGTCCCCAGCAGGACAGACAGATTGCTGCCACTTTTGCTCCTTAGAGATCACTAGGCAAAGGCCTAGTGACTTTGGGGCTGCTCCCCACTGCATCTGTTACATCAACCATTAATTTTATGAACATCCAACAGACAAGAAGTTTCATGAAATGGAGTAGAAGAAATGAGAAAGTAGATAATCATGTTTGCTAAACTTTTCCAACAATATTTTAATGTTCTCTGGGAAAATAAAAGTGCTGATTTTGCACAACTAGCTTCAGATCACCAGGGGAGCCGGTGGCCACCCCATGCATCTTGCTCCCTTCTGGGGCAGTGTGCATAACTGGCAAAGCCTTCTGTATTTAGATCTTTCTTCTAGTAACCTTCTGAGTCAGAACCAGCAGGGTGTGTTTGTGTTGACATGTCTAGATGAGCTCTTCCGCTCCTGGTCAAACTCATAAATGGTCAGTAAGGCTCAAAAAAGATAGTGAGTAAATGTGTGGTAAAGGTGTCATCCCATGCCTGGAGCTCAGAGTGACTTCTGAGTCCTTCAAAGAGAGCAGCATCAGGTTGCCAGCTGTGACTTTTCATGATCAGTGGAGATGTGCACGACGAACCTGCCTGCACCCAGCTCTAAGCTCTCCCCCCTCATTTCTCGAGCACAGGTTCTACGAGCACAGGCGAAGTTCTGTGGTGCTGAACTTACCCGGACTCGAGGTGTTCCCTGGGGACCTTCTGGTGTCAGATGGAGCTGCGGATTACCTGTGCCACCCACTTCTGCTGCTGAATTCAGGTCGTGTCCATTCAAGCATACTTGCATGACATGCCCACTCTGGGATGGATATTGTCACAAACAGGGGGCATTTTCAAAATGTTTAATAACTAGTGGAACATGTGCGCTGAGCAGCTAGAACTGAGGTCTAGCCAGTTAGAACAGGCACCAGCTGTGAATTACTGGAAGCAGCTGAATACCAGTCTTGGTCTTGAACATTCCATTTAGAGATGAGTACGACATGGCTCTTCCTTCCAACTATACTCTGGTTAAATAACTTATCCAAGCTCCAGGCCCTGGCACAGTTGCATTATCTGGGATCACAGTGACCTCGCCAGGAGTGGAGGCAGCTTCCCCTCCCATTGCTGTAGGTAGCATGTCTCCCCACTCCTAGTCTGCCATCTCACACTGGTATCTTCCAACCAGAGAGGTACCATGTGGAGGCAGAGGTGCCAATGGCAGATTAGTGATAGAGAGACACAGCCCTAGGGGTGAATCTTCTGCGTCTTCGTTTCCCTTGTCAAAGCAGAACAACTACGGTATTCAGGGTACTTTCCTCGTGATTCTGAGGGTAGGTACATGAAAGCCTTTGAGAGCCGAAAGGAGATTTAAAGATTATCCACACGTTGGTAGTTTTTAAACTGGTTTTGTTCTTAGCAGAGCCCTTTTTACAACAGAATCCTTGCTTGGAAGTCCAATGTGTAAAACAGATCCAGGTGAAGCTGCCATGCTTGCAGCTGGGGCGAGCCCCAAAGATGCACCTCCAGGCATCTCCAGGAGCCTTGGACACTTGACAAAACAGTTTGAAAACCACCAACTCATTCACAGGTGTGCAAAGGAGACCCAGAAAGGAGAAGTGGGTCGTCCTGGTGCCTGCGGGTTTGTGCAGAGGAAGAGCACCTAGGCGTCTGCCTGCTGGGCCAGTGCCCTCTCTACCAGCCTGTGTCAGTCACCGTTGTGTGGCAGCTGCAGTCTTCAGTATGTGGACCCCGGAAGCCACTAGGGAATAGATCATAATGAACATTTTTATAGCTCTTTATTCTTTATGGATCCCTTTCACATCTACTATTTTATATGATACAACAATTCAAATGAACGAGCCAAAAGGGGTTAAATGATCTGCTCGAGGACATGCCTCTAGAAATCTGAGCTGCTTCTAAACACAATGTCACCTTAACAGAGGTTTTTACATACACGTTGCATGAGGCTTTGCAAATGCTTTAAACCTGTTAACAACCAGAGCCGGGGTTCCCACAAGCTGGCCCCACACCAGCAGCTTTAGCATCAGCTGAGAAGTTACCAGAATTGCAGATTCTGGGTGCCCACTCCAGACCTCCTGGATCAGCAACTCTAGAGGTGGTGTCCAACAGTCTGTTTTTTGTTTTTTTTTAAAAGTCCTGCAGGTGATTCTGATGCCAGCTAAAGTTTGAGAACCACCATGCTAAGGAACAAGGTCATCGTTGCTGTATGACACTTCTATGTCACACTATTTGTTTTGTGATGTGCCTAGGATCACGGCAGATACCAAACACTAAAAGATAAGCAACGTCCTCCACCTTACCACTCAATACTCTTTTCTCAAGGAATTTAGATTAGAGGTCTCATGTCCCCAAATCGTGGTCTAGACCAGTGCTTCTCAGGCTTTGGTGCATGTATGCGTCACCTGCAGTTATTTGTTGAATTAGATTCTTAGTCAGCAAAATGTAATACTTAAGAGAGATAATAAAAAGCTGTGGATTCAATGAGGACTCATTTAAATCTTCTTCTGAATATTTAAAAAGCTTTCCCAATGCTCCAAAATTATCCCCAAAGTTAGAAAAGCAGAGGAGAGAAATTCATCAAGGACCAAAACCCCTAATTATTGTGGTTCAAATTGGGCATAGGTATTAACCACCAGGCATTTGAAAGCTAAGCGTGGTGAAGCTGATTTGTTCCTAAGGGAGATTCTATCTACTCACCCCTGTATAGAGATTAATAAGGTGGTCAGATGAGCGAGAGAATAATGAGCTGGGCAGGTGTCTTCCAAGGTCACGGTGGGAACAGTGACTCAAGCACATCCTATGCAGTAAATGAGCTCACGTCTGACTGCTTCCCTCTGGGACAGTATTATGCATGCTCTCCCGAAGAATCTGACAGAAAGAAAACTAAACCTATAAGACGTCCATTTGTATACTGAGTGATCAGAACATCCCACCTAAACCTAACGGACTATTCCTAGCTTTTTCTGGGTCACATTACAAATTAATGAAAACAGCATAAAAATCAACCGACCAGAACCTGATCTACTCTCTACTTCCTGGTCATCAAAACAATGTGTGTTTGAATAATGACTTCCTTCTCAACTCAAAGCAACTCCTGAAGACTATTGAGGTGGTGACCAATAGCAACCGGCCCCAGAATAAAGATTGGTGACATGTGTTGGCATTTCCTATTTCAAGAGTCTTCATTTAACCACACCTGGGGATTGTTGGGTTTGTGCAATCTGAAAGTCCCAAGCTTGGTCAGGCCATTGAAGTTGCATGTGATGTGATGGGCTGACTTAATGGTAAGATGGGGGAAAAACAAAAGGCTCATCCTTTCAGCCCCAAAGTGCTTTGATTTTCTGTCTTAAATGAATTACTCAACATCTTTACTCCAGTTTATAGCTATCTCCCCAAGTGATGGGAGAAAGGAGGTTAACAATACACTAGAAAAGAAATAGGTCTATACCACCTTAAGGCAAGAACCGAACATCAGCTTTGAGATTGCAACTGCTTCATTCACTCATCTGCAAAGATATAAATATTCATACTCTGCATTCTCAAGAGAAGGAGAATTAAGGCAGGATGAATCTTGTTTGGCTCATTTTCAACAAGCAGGTTTTGTAAAGCACTGCAATCATCTGTCACCAGTCACTCGAAGTACCTGTAATAATATATTTTCTTTAATTTCACCCTCCAGAATCCAAAAAGCCAAGATGGCCTTTCTCCAAGAGAGGAGTGGTGAGTGTCTCACATTGTCATTTTTGTCTTAATTAAGCCTCCCGTAGCTAAGGAAGCAAGAAATGGCTGAAGAGCCTTTTCATTCTGCTTTATCTTTGCATAAAGGCAGATGGCACGTGAAATGTAAATGATATCATCACATCCGTAGTATTGGCTACAGAACATGCCAAATGGTGCCATTTTGTGCAGCAAAACAGTGCTAATTGCCAGTGGTTAATGAGCTCTGCAAAAAAAACAAAAAAAACAAAAAAACACAAAGCAATCCTAATATAGTGATGCTCTACAACACTAAATTTATAACAGGATACAACTTAGGAAACAGCTCACTCGATGAAGCAAACTTGCACAAATATATGCCCCAGTTCACAGTCAGTGCCGTGTATATTGGGAGCATTGAAAAATGAATGAGATATTACAGAAACAGATTCCACAAATACACTTCTATTTCTGGAAAAGCCAGTCAGATCAGGCCAAGTGGGTTTTTTAATTCGTTCTTCGTTCCTTCAATTATTGAAGAGTTATAAATCTAAATCTGTGGCTCCAGCATCTTGACCGCCTCAGACAAGGGTGCCCACAGTCAAGCCGTCCTTTCTGGCATGCAGTGGGGTGGAGGGAGCGAGTGTTCAGGATCACAGCCTGATGACTCCTGTTTTCTGGAGGAAGGGAAGGGACGGGTTTTGTGTTCTCCCAGCAGTACCATTTGTAACACATACACGCCACGGCCAGCAGCAACAGCAGGGCCTCATGGCAGGTTACTGTGCCTCTCGCTCTGCTACAAATCTGCCCACATGGCCTCTCCAATCAGTTTGGCATCAGTTGCTGACATCTGCAATGGTTCTATGGACACACACACCTTGATATCTTTTAAGTCCAGTAGCTAAATGAAAAGCCCTCTGAGTTTCCAGTCCTAGCTGCTTCTCTTACCGCCCATGAACCTTGGCCAAGTGAATTGACCTCCCTCAGCTCGGGTCTCTCCCTATTCAAAGTAGAAACTCCTAGTGCCAGCCTCACAGGGTGGTTGTGATGAGCACATCGTAATGCATAGGGAGCTCACCTCAGAGCCGGGCACTTGTAGACAACCTATCTTGGCCATGTTATTCGTAGCTGTATTTTTAATTAGGGTTTAGAAAACTACTTGTTCTCAATAGCCAATTGTATGATTGACTTTCACTTTTTTTCCCCAAAAATACAACATTTAAATGGAATACAATCTAAACATGAAGAGCTGCAAATTGTAAATCATTAGTAAAATTGTGGCACCATTGTCACCAGGGCCGTTGCTCACCAGTGATGCAGGGACATGCCGTGACTGTTTTCCCGGCAGGTCTGAGACAAGGTTTACAGTGCCACCTCTCCTGAGTTCCTTGCTCATATAAACAGGGGCGGGGCCAGTCACCAGCCAGATCTGAGGTCCCAGGAGAAGAGGCTTGTTGTTCCCCCAGCCCTCCTGAGATCGCCTCCAGGACAGGGAAGCCACCAGGGTTGCCTGGGAGACAGAATGTGCTTTCAGAAGGGAAGGATTTAGCTAAGGAAGGGACACTCCCACAAGTTGCTGGGATCGATCCATAAAGAAGCAACTTTCTCCACACGTGTGTGTTGGGTGACTGTGCCCGGTGCTGGGCCAGATAGCTAAGATACCAAAATGCCCATTTTCAGTCACAATTGAAAAGATCGACTGACAAGTAAATTGGGGGGAGGGAGGGAATGTGCTCAATGGTTTGTACTATGTTTGGGGGTCGGTTGTGGAGATACCTAAAGGAAAAATAATTAGTAGACTGATAGAATGTTCTCAGCAATGAAGAAAACTTCATCTCCAGAAGCTTCACTTTCACAAGGACACGATACTTGGTACCTTAAGATCAATATGTCTCCTTCCTTCCTTTATCCTCTTAGCCTTATCCAGGAGGTAATTCACATCTTTATAAACGGTGATCCGCACCAAAGTAACAAGCACACCTCTAAGTTGTACTGGATTTTCCTAGTCTAGTACAGGTTTTTACTTTTCTTTCCCTTTTTCCTTCCTTTTACTCCCTCTTTTTTTCCCAACTATCTGTACAATATTAGTAATGAAAGCTAAAACACATATGTAATGTTTACCACATTGCCAGGCACTGTTTCTCATTACTTGTATTCTTGTCTGTAGATGTTATAGTTTACATATGTGAATTCGTAAGTTCTCACAACGATCCAACAAGCTAGGTAACCTCCATGTTGCAAATGGAAAAACAGGTTCAGAGAGGTTGCATAGTTTGCCCAAGGTCACACAGCTCATGAGCAGCAGAGCAGGGATTTGTCTCCAGCAGTCCCAGGCTGTCTGGCTCTGAGTCTGTTCTCCAGCTCGGTCCTGCCCCCCCCCCAACCTTAGGGATCCTTGTAACCAGATCTGGACACTCCTCCCTCCGTCTCTCACTGGAGCTCTCAAAGAAAGATCCTGTCTGTTCTCACTGGTTCAACTCCATCTCTTTGTCAACCACTCCAAAATGTATGTATGCAATGTTTGGTTTTTTTTTGTTTGTTTGTTTTTTAAGTCAGTGTCTCACTCTGTCACCCGGACTAGAGTGCTGTGGTGTCAGCCTAGCTCACAGCAACCTCAAACTCCTGTGCTCAAGCAATCCTCCTGCCTCAGTCTCCTGAGTAGCTGGAACTACAGGCATGCACCACCATGCCTGGCTAATTTTTTTATTTTTAGGTGCCTGGCTAATTTCTTTATATTTTTAGTAGAGATGGAGTCTTGCTCTTGCTGAGGCTGGTCTCAAACTCCTGACCTTGAGCCATCCTCCCACCTGAGCCTCCCAGAGTGCTAGAATTACAGGTGTGAGCCACCGTGTCCGGCCTAGGTATTCAATCTTAACCTTCACCTGGGCTCCAGTTCCACGTCACCAATACCTATTGCACACCTCCATTCCACCTACTTCTTCATGACTAAGTTTGAGACTCCACAGTTAACCTTATACCCTCTCAAATACCTTTCAAATGCTTCTCACGGCCTCTCCTAACCAACACCGCCTCAGTGGAAGCAACAGGGCACTAAATGGGCCTGTTACTCTCGAGACTTAATGTGGCCACTCAGACAACTGTCTCCTCCCTTCTCGCTGGAATCCCCACCAAGCTATGTGGCCAGGACGTGGAGCAAACCCATGGCAAGCCACAGTGAGTGCCCATCAAAGTACGGGGCCAGCACCCACTTTCCCACAACTCCAACGCTGCTTCCATTGTCTCAGCTTCTTTCTTTCCCAACTGGCTGCTGATTTTTTTATTTCCACAACATGCAGTCGCCATGGTTTCAGACATCAACAAAAGGCACATGTCCCAATTGCTGTAGGAGGTCCCCAGCTGGCTCCAAGATTCCTTTGCTGCTGCAAAGGCTAATGAGCCTACGATAGATTTCCTCTTTCAGTGCCGTAACCCTACTAGAGAAACCAGCCCCAGCCCAGTAGCACATTCTGCAAATATTACAGGGTCTCCTTTCGCACACCCAGGGAGCCGCTGACCCACAGCAGCAGACAACCCGTCCCTCCTCTTGTTCATTAATATAATGTTGATTAACTTTCACCAAACTTTAGGCCCATGCCAATATCATGCACCCTGAGGCAACAGAACAAGTCAACAATTATTTGCGATAAACATTCATTTGAAATGCTGCCAAGTTGACTTTAAAAAGCCTTATACATTGTTATTTGATAGCTTCTTCCTGGTGTGGTTGGTAAAATGAACTCTTTAAGTGGGCAATTCATGATGTTGCAACGGAATACTGATGGAATCAAAAAAAATGCTCACACTATATGATGTTTAAAAAGTTTTAAAAGTTCCAAAGAATGTATAAATATGACACTGCTTAAAAATTAATTATGAATATGATCAGAAAAATGTTTTCAGTGGGTATCTGAGGGTGGAGATAATGGATAGCTTTAATTTTCATGGTATTTTTCTTTGTTTCTCAAATTTTCTGCAATAATCATATATTACCTTTGCAATCAGATTTTGAAAAAAAATATATTAGTAAAAATAGAGATCATAACAAAAGTAAATAGGTTATTCCATTCCATGGAAACTAAAGTTTCTAGCATATTCTGGTATTTTTTTTTTTAGCATAGAATTAATTGTTTTGGGAAAGTTTCTTTAACACTCTGGGCTTTATTTAGTCATCTGTTAAATAAGGGGTTAAACTAATACATCTGATGCACCTTCTGATGCTAAAGCCCAGTGGTCCAGAATTTAGAAGTTAAGTCCGTGAAGGATGCCACGTCACCCCACCAGGTGGGCACTTCACTCAGAACCCACCTATTTGCTATGTAACCGTTCTGTGCCTTGGATATGTTTTCATTAGTTAAGTGAGAGGTTTGGATCAGATAGTCTCATGAGCCTCTGTCCTCCAGGTCTGACATCCTGTGGTCCTGTGGCTCAGACTAGGGCTCAGAATGGCTTTAGAATTGTCCATGGCTTAAAGACAGAAGGTGCAGTCTGTTCTCAGGAATGGTAGAGAACGAATGAAAGATGCTGAGGCTATTGATGTTGTGCTGTTAAAGAATGTATGTTTGAAAATCTTGTTTCTAACAAACTTTAAGCAGGGCAAAGACAAACATAAGCACGTATCCGACCTGGAAAACTGCCTCTCCTTGGTGAAGATTACCAACTTCAGGGGCTATGAGTTCTGCAGCTTTAAGGTATGTCATAAATTGTTTATTGTGTGGCATGGCTTTCCTTTTCTTCTTCTTTTTTTTTTTTTTTGTCATTATTTTAAGTTGTCAGATTATTTCCAGGGCTGGAAAGGGCCTTCTCTGCTCCAACACAATGAAACCTGGGGAAAGTCATTTTATTTTAAATAAAGTAATGAATGTGAGAGCACTTTGTAGGTCAGGAAGCCCCATACAAATGTTAATAGTAATTGCTTCTACTATTGACCTCTCCAGGCCTCAATTCCTCATTTGAAAAATAAGTTCTTTTTTTTCTTTTTAATTTTTTTTTTATTTCTTTATTTTTTTTTATTTTCAGTTGGCCAATTAACTTTTTTTTTAAATTTTTTTTTTTTTTTTAGTAGAGACGGGGTCTTGCTCTTGCTCAGGCTGGTCTTGAACGCCTAAGCTCAAATGATCCACCCGCCTCGGCCTCCCAGAGAGCTAGGATTACAGGCGTGAGCCACCACGCCCGGCCAGTTGTTTTTTTGATAAGACAATTTCTAAAGGTCTCTTTGAACTCTAAAACTTTTACTTTACTCTTGAGTAATTTCAACAAGTTTCACCAGTAAAATCCAGAATCAGACTTCCCAGTTCTGGGTTTGGGGTTCTTAGAGATTTTTTTTTTTTTTTTTTGCAATAAACTGAAAGGGACTCATGACATTCATGAACATAATCCAAAACATCAGTTTGAATCTCTTTTCGTTTTAAGGTGAAAATGCCGTACAATGCGCATCCCATGCTGTGCATCGGGAGCAACTGGCATCCAGGAGTCCCACGGAGGGGACCTGGGGTGTGGGAAGCTTGCGGAGCTACTCTGCCCAGAGAGCTCCCGGGGCCTGAAGTGGGAGGTCGTGATTTCGGAGATTGCCTGTTCCTGCTGTACCACAAGCCAAAGTGAATACCGAACAGGTCAACCCACCGAGGTGGAAATGTTCTGTTCTCTCTTTTCTCCTCATTTACAGGATAAAACCTGGAATGAAGTCATGGAAACACACCAAAAACTTCCCACTGATCAATTAGACTTGAGAAAGCAGCAAGAGGCCGTGTGGGAACTTTTCACGAGCGAATGCACTTATTTCTTGGACCATTTATTAGTTCTTAAGATGGTAATGCCAGGCTTAATTCTTGTAGTAGATGGAAAATATTAATTTGGTTCTTTGGGGACCTGTTTTTGTCTTTCATATTTAAAAAAAAAAAGGGGGAAGTTTTAGGGGTTTTTTCCCCCCTCTTTTAGGAGATCTTGAAGAAAATTTTATTTATTGTTTACTTTTATCTACTACTTGGTTGTCTCTTCATTTTTTCCTTAAATGTTAGATGAGATTTACTAAGTAAATTAGTCCAGCTTCTCATCTGATGTCTGAATCTCTTCTGCTTGATCTCACCAGTTCACACACTCCTGAGTCAGGGAGCTCACACCACCCTGGGGACAGCACATTCCATCTTTGGTCGCCTTTCTCCCGCAGGGCTCTTGCTCCCTCAGGAACAGTGCCAGGTGAATGCTTTTTATCAGCTGCAGGGCCACGGTCACAGACTTCCGGGCCTACCATCCACATGTAATTCAGTGCTGTTGGATTGCATGGCATAATCATGATGTCGTCTATGTAAATGGCACCCTTGAGGTTGTACAGTGCTGCAGCCCTGATCTGGTAAGGCTGAGAGCAGAGGATTTCTTATAGAAGAACCACAGGGCAGGGGAGGGAACTATAGGGCAGCTTCCTTGCAAGACCGTAGGGGAGCATGGACCACACTCCTCCCAAGGTCTCTGCCTATCGCACTTTTGAATCCTGGTTACTGTGTTAACACAGCTAAAAAGCACTGTGTTGGCAGACCTGAGCTCAAGCCTTGGATCTGCCTCTGATTTTCCTTGTGACTTTAGAAAATTCTAGTCCCCCATATCCTAAACCAGGAGCTGGCAAAACATTTTCGTGTTGGTCCAGATAGTAAATATTTTAAGCTTTGCAAGGCACATGGTCTTTGTTATAACTACCCAACTCCTGCGGTGCAAAAGCAACCAGAGGAATGTGCCTGACTGTGTCACCAAAAAGCAACATTTAAAAAGCAGATGGCAGGCCAGATTTAGCTCACAGGCTATAGTTTGATAATCTCTGTTCTAAGCTATAAAAGGGTAATGACAATACCGTCTTTGGCTATCTCAGCAGACCATTGTAATGATCAAAGTCGTTCTCTTTAAAATCTGTCAAGTGCTAGGCAAATGTCAGTTATTTTCTGTAAGTAATATGTATTGTCAGTAACAGCACTAAGTCCTTTCCTTAGCAAAATTCAAACCATAAAGACACTTTATGAGAAAATTGAAATGTTGAGACCGTATCAATTAGGATGCATACAAAAGCAAGTTAGAGAAAACTAGCTGAAATATAGGATTTTATTAGCCCACATGACTGTAAAGCCCAGAGGTGGGAAAGAATTCAAGATTGTTTTGATCAAGGGGCTCAAAACCAAGGACAAAATTTCTTTCTGTCCTTCATCCTTGGGATCTATGGCATTAGCTCCTTCCCAAGGCTGGTTTCTCTTGTCATCACAAAATGGCTGCTGTCCTTGAGCCCGTGGAGAGAAGGGCAGAGAAAGATCTTCCCAGCATTCATAGCAAGTCTTGAGATTCATTCTGATTGGAGTGGCTTAGATCAGGTGCCCACCCTGAGCCAAATACTCCAGCTAGGTAAGGAAGGAATTGGCTGAAAGTAGTCAAGGCCCAGCCCCGGGTGTAAGATCAACTTGCCACATGGCACATGAGAGGCACAGAGAAGAGTAGACACTGACATGAAAACCGAGCTGTTTTAGGGAAGGGGAGCATTGCAGCTAAGTAGTAATCAATCAAATGTTCACCGCAGAGCACTAACTCCTGACCATACCACCCCGTTGTCCCAATGAACAGCATAGAACTTTCTATGCCCCTGTAAAACTGCCCACATTTTTCAAATTAGCATCTTCTGTTTACAAAAAGGTCAATTTGAATTTGTTTGCAAATGCACCAGTGTATTGAAAGTACATATATACCTCTCTTTACACAATCCATATGAGTTTCCCAAAGTTGCTTGAAAATTGTGAATATGTAACTCAGAGTAAAATAAATACACGGGAGGACTCAGTATTTTTTTAAATGGTAATTTCTGTAAAGCAAAGAATCTTACAGCAAAAAGAAGATTTCTTCCAAATTGTCACAATTTTTCTGTAGTAGTAAGTTCTGTTTCTTAAAATTATCTCTTTTAAATGCTTGGCTATTGACAGATTTCCAGACAACCAATGCTATATTGGATTTAAAAAGCTCTAAATCAGTGGTTCTCAATATGTGGTCTATAGACCAGCTGTTTCAGAATCATGGGCCCCAGCAGCTCTGGTTTAACAAGGCCTGCAGGTGATTTTGAGGCAAGTTCAAGAACTACTCACCACACTAAATAATACAGGAATGGGAACTGGTGAAGGTTAGCTATCTAAAGCCCTGTCTTTTCACCCGAAAAATTCTTGAAATAATTGGTCCCTTTGACTGCTTCCCATCTTCTATGTACAAAGCATTTCCATTTCAATCAATTGATCTCTCTTCAGTTTATAGGATGAAGGGCAGGCTATCTGTAGGTAAGGATTGTAGTTCTTCTTTCTTGACTTGCTGTGTAGTTCTCCTGTTGTGTGAAAGCATCAAATCAAGTGAGAATTACATAAAGACTCCCTTAATGTTTGCATTCATATTTGATACCTTTATCCTAATCAAAACATTTTACCAGTTATCAGATACAAGCTCATTAATTCTCTTTTTAATTTCCTGAAAATAAAGTACATTTGGGTCTTTTGCAGAGGAAGGAATACATGAGAACACAGCATGAACATTGTTTTGCTCTCAAGTTAGTACTATTGGCAAGAAGAGAACCTTGGGGATTTCTTTGGCTCCATGTAGCAGAGAAAGCCCATTTGGACAGATTGTGTTCAACAGGAATGTTGTTAGGGCTCAGAGAAGCAATAGCAACTTCATACTGAAGAGTACTTTTCCAACATGTTTTATGAAGCTTAAATGTCATCATTTGCATTGAATAAAAGTTTTAAACTTTGAGAATGCTGATTTCCACATTGCTTTGTTAAGTTATACTCAGGAGGTTTATGTTTAATGTTCTTACAAAGGGCAAGTTTCAAAATTTTAAAATGTAAATTAATGTGCATTTATTTTTTTTAAAGATTTTTATGAATACACTAAAATATCTGCAAACTCATGAATTTCTCCTGGATGTGGATTTATGGAGACTCTTTGCAAACCTGGAGGAGTTAGCTCAGGTAAGCTAAAGTAGAAAGATGTCCATAGCTATATTTTAAACTTCACTAAGGAACTATGAAAATTCATGCTTAATCTATTCTTATGGCTTATGTTCCATATTGGAATATGGCATATGATTTATTCCATATTCCATTCATTCCCAGGTAGGACTTCAAGTTAACAAGAGAGAAATCTAAATATCCATTGACATCTTTGCAATAAATTGTAGCTATTAGTGAAGAAAACCTTTACTTTTAATTTTTCTATGGCTATTTAAAAATGTAGATGCATTCCTAAGATCTCCATCATCTTCACAAATGTTTATTTTCAAATTAATGTGCTTTTCTCATCTATATTATAAATAAATAATATCTTTCCTTGCAAACGGAAGGAAAGAGAGATAGCAACAAGAATTTATTTAAAAGAAACTTATAAGAAAATATATACTGGAGGGTGGAGGAAAATAAATCTTTGAATTTTGCTAGGAGATAAAATGAAATAGGAAACATCTGTAAGAATGATATTTAAAATGCGTCAAATGTTTATTCCTTAACCCTGGGTGTGCTTTCTTGTTTTCTTTCTCTCTGGCCCTAGACAAGCCTTGGTTTTGTGAACAGTCTTTTCACCCTTATCAAGGACTATGTAGATGCTTCTGAGACTTCACCATCAATGGATTACATCTCCGTGCTCACAAAGGTAAAATCCTGGGAGATCTCAGCTTCATGAAATACATTCACCCACCTGCCGGGACAGTTGTTCATATCTACTTGATTTTTTCTTGTTCCTGGGAAAGTTCTACCACCACCCTCCCACAAAGGAACCATTTCTGCCTCCGCCAATCAAGGTTTTCAAAAATAACTTGCAGCTTCTGTTTTTCCATTGTCACGTCCCATGTGTGGGTTTTATTAATACAAAAATCTGCATGCATGGAAAAGCCATTTCCAAGTCTGTTTTTTAAATGACTTCAATTTAAAGCAATATTCATGGCAATAGTTTAGTGTATGCTAATTACATGGTTCAGTTGTTCTTCTAACAAAAGTGCCAGACTCTCAGAAAGAAAATAAACCTTCAAATCCATCACCACCCTTAATAATATTTCTGTGTGTGAAATGAGGAGAAAAGAGGAAAAGCTGTAGCCCTGGTTTGATAAATGTTATTTATTTCTCAAGTAGATATTTGAACCTCCTCCCCACTTTTTTTTAACTTTGAGTTTTTTTATAATCTGGTTCCCATCTAGTCTCATTTACCAAGATTTAAATTCTTACACTCAATTTAAAAAAAAAACATAGATTGAGATTTATTGACAACTTACTAAGTGTTAGGTGAGGCTGATCCCCTGTTTTCAATAATGTGCAAAACTTAGACCAGCCCCCAGCCCCCTGCTCTTAAGAAATTTTCAGTCTAATGGGGAAAAAAACTAGTCCAGTAATGACACTGATGATTATTCAATCAAATTGAGATAAATGCTTGAAAAATAAATGGACACAGTTAAGTGTCCAACAAAGAAAACCTAAGCTGGGGTAGATAGTGGGGTACTTACAGGAAGGAAACACTCTCTGGAGAAATCATGCTTCAGAAGATGTATAAAAGAAGAATTTTAACAAGTCAAAAATAAGCAAGAAGTTCCTTTAGTGAACATTAAAAATAGATTTAAATAAGAAAAGCTTCAAAAAACAGGAAAGAATGTAAAGTTTTGGGAATTAGCTAAAATCTCAGGATCTCTCAATTCCTTGAGTCAGAAAATTTTAAAATTTAGTTTTTAGTAAATAGCCTAGAAAAATATCAGCTTCTCATCAAAACACGTAAATGCACTTAAAGATTACTAAAGAATGGGATGTTATTAGACTCTATGAGAGTCTATAATAAACCCACTTATGAATGTTCCGTACTATGTTACTAATGTACAAAGATGGATCATAAACACTTTTCCTAAATGTAGAAGGTCTACATCAGTCAGGTTAGAGTCAGTTGTACCACAGTCACAAACAATCCCAAATCTCAGTGGCGTGGCTCATTTCTCACGTAGGCTCTGCTTCCTCTTTCTCCTTGTCCTGACTCTGGGGCCCATGATAATAGAACAACCACCACCTGGAACATTACCAGTTGCCACGGCAAAGACATAAGAGACAGTGGCAAACACTCACTGGCTCTTCAAGTTTCTGCCTGAAGCAACAGATGGTGTATCTGTTTGCATTTCCTCAGCACATGGCCAAGGTTACCTTCAGTGCAATGGGTACATATCATCTTCCCCAGGAAGGGTTAGGGTCAAGGTTCGATGAACAGTAAGTAGTCTACTGCAATGTCTCACAAGAAGCTCACCAGCTAGGAGGTGGGGACATCTCGTTATTCATAGGTAAGCCATCTGAAGAAGTCACTCAGAAGGAAACTGAGGCTTGGAGAGGTTAGATAATTTGGCCGAGATCATACAGCCAATGGGTAGTGGAACTAAAGTTCTAAGCCTGACTATTAATGCCTCTTAATCTTGGTGTCTTAACAATCGCTTCCTAGTTACGACATTTCTCAAGCACCTCAGTGCCTCATGAGAAGACCCTCCCTTTACCTCCAAGTCTTCTTCTCTGCCCAGATCTCCACATTCCTCCCTAAAAGAAACTCATGTCATCTTTCAAATTATTTCTTGCAGAAGCCCAAACTTGACGTTGCTCTCCATAACGTTTTGTCTTCTGAGGTCCTATAATGAAATATTTTTCTAGGTTTTCATCATCTCTGGCCTTATTACCAGCACTTTCTTTTGTGGCTTTTCAGGCTGGGTCTGCTCTTTCTACTCACTGTAGCCATGACACCGCCAGCAATGTGCTTCCTCCTCTGATGCCACCACATTGGGATAGCATTGGAAATTCTCTAATGGGGTCCATGAGTTGGTCAATAAATCATCTATGGGCACATAGACTCAGCAACATGGTAGACACTATGGAGTCCTTAAAAGAGTGCCTGATAGTAATGAGCCAGAAGTATCACTAAAGAGGAAAGAATAACCACTGTTTCTGAGAAAGACATTTAACTGAGATGGTAGCATATTGTGTGGTGTGCAGTTTACCCATTGTATGTATGAAGATATGTCTAAAACTTGACAATCTGCCTTATTCGAAAATGAATTCAAGGAAGCTTTCAAAAGTGTAGTCATTATAGCAAGTTTAAGGCATTAAATAAGAATAATGAAGAAAATCTAGTAAGTGTGAAAATGAGTAAGACTGCTAAACAAAATGTGTGCTTCTAAATATACATTTAGTAGAGGCATCCCAAATTTCTACACATTTAAAAGCCAGCAGAATTATATTTATGGATATTTTTGAGGAATATTGGATAAAAAGTTAAATCTCATTACTTTAATCACTTAGTACCAACACAAGCTTAACATCAACTCGCAGGGTCACCAATATATCAAAGGCAGTATTTGTTAGTAGGTGCCAGGCAGGGTATAGGGACCTCATTAAAGCTTGAACAGAAGTAAAAGGGTGAATTAAGTTAAGACATACAAAATAGAATTTTCTGTGAGTATAGAGGAGAAAAGACTATTTATTGAGAAATTGGCTGTTTATTATGAGAATACCGTATCTTTTTAAAGGAATGCTTTTAAAAGGAGCTATGTATGAAATCATAGCTCCTCTACTTTCCCCTGTTCTAGTTAAGGGTAAAAATGAAGAGAAAGAGAAAGTCAGCCGGGCTCAGCGCATACTCCTTAACTTGAGTTCTTTCTGCTCTTCTCCTGCAGTATTTCCGAGGGAACCTCTGTCAGAGCCACCAGACCTACTGCCTGAACTACTCAGCTGCTGTCTTTTATCTTGACAGCCTGAGGCAGCGAGATGACTTTGGAATTTATTTAAAAGTAAAGTACCATTTTCTTTTCTTTTATATTTTTCCTGACCTTCTTTGGGTGTACCAGGTATGGGGAATTATTATGCCCAAATTAAATGGGAAAGAAAGAAATAAATAATCAACAATATGTTTCAACTAGAAATATGCTTTCTTCATAAAGACATCATCCATTGCACACTCAGGAATTTTAAATGGTGCACATCTGGGAACATTATATCATCTAATATCCCTCCAGAAATTTTGGCTGGGGCTTAAAAAATATTTTACTAGTTCATTGTTTTGTTTGTGGTAGAAATTGGTACATTGTAAGGGGGGAAACTAGAATAAAAACCTGAGCTTTGTTTGTGACTAGAAGTTAGGCTTTTGTAGGATTTAGTCCCAGCACAAAAACCTGGAGCACCATTACGTTGTATTCCGTATGAAGGGCGCCCCCTAGATTAGATCACAGAGTACAATGTAAACGTTGTCGCATGAGTTGTACAACATGGCAGCTCTGGGCCCCAAGCATGAAAACATGGAATTTCTGCTGGGGTCCTTCAGCATTTTCTAAGAGGCAAACCTGGAATGAATTTTCCTTGACTTTCTTAGCTCTGTTGACCGTTTTTTTGGCATTGCTTTAGTCTGAACTCTACCTTTTCAGTACTGTGCCAGAGCCCTTTTGGGTGATCCATAGAAAATGCCTTTCCAGAAAACCAGCTCTTCCCTGCAGCTGCAAGAAGCCCCTGCAAAAGCTGCACCTCAGAGGAAGGGGAGGAAAGGCCACCACAGTTCCTAATGACTCAGTTGTGCATCCGTGGGCTTTTGCCATGGCCTTGATTCACGTGCCAGGAAGCCTGGGTGTGGCCTGGCTGACAAAGAGGGAATGATCTTAGGGAAGAGACGTGGCCCTATTTTTGTATTAATAGCTTCAGCCTGTCAGTGTTTTCTTTGCTACTTAAACTGAAAACTGAATGCTCATTAGATTTCCAGCATATGCATAATCATATTACAAACATTTCCCCTGGAAGTTGATGGATTAGACTCTTAGCTAGGCTCCTATCTTAGTCTGTTTTGCATTACTATGCAGGAATATCTGAGACTGTGTAATTTATAAAAAAAAAAAAAGAAGTTTATTTGGCTCAGGGTTCTGCAGGCTATACAAGAAGCATGGCGCCCACATCTGCTTCTGGTGAGGGCCTCAGGAATCTTCCACTCATAGTGGAAGGCAAAAGGGAGCCACGAGTCACATGGCAAGAGAGGGCATAAGAGAGAGAGGAGGAGGTGCCAGGCTTTTTCAACAGAAGGGCACTAAGCTGTTCATGAGAGACCCACTCCATGACCCAAACACTTCTCACTAGGTCTCACCTCCAACATTGGAGATCAAATTTCAACAGGAGATTTGAAGGGGCAAATATGCAAACTATATCAGACCCCAAACTGGGGAAAATTGAGGTATATATCTCTCCCTTCCAATCTAGGGGTAATTAAATTTAACAAGGTCCAGCCACCATTTTCAAATAACTGTGGAAAATCCCATACCATGTATTAACAGCCAAATTATTTTTAACAAAGGTACTAAGAACACACATTGGGGAAAGAACACCCTCTTCAATAAATGGTGCTGGGAAAACTGCATATCTGTATTCAAAAAAAATAAACTAGACCCCTATCTCTCACTATATACAAAAATCAAATCAAAATGGATTAAAGACTTAAATATAAGGCCTGAAACTATAAAACTAGTAGGAGAAAACATAGGATAAGCACTTTAGAACATTGGTCTAGGCAAAAATTTAAGGCTAAGACTTCAAAAGCAACGGTAACAGAAACAAAAGACAAATGGGACCACACTAAACTAAAAGGCCTCTCTGCATAGCTAAGAAAACAATCAACAGGGTAAAGAGACAACCTATAGAATCAGAGAAAATATCAATATTTTCAAACTGTTCATTCAATAGAGGACTAATATCTAGAATATATAAGGAACTAAAAAAAAAAACCCAAATAATTCCATTAAAAATTAGGCAAAGGATCTGAGAAAACATTTCTCAAAAAAAGACATACAAATGGCCAACAGGTATATGAAAAAAATGCTTGACATCACTAATCCCCAGGGAAATGCAAATCAAAACCACAATAAGATATTATCTAACCCCCCAAATGGAATGGATATTATTTTTTTAAAAACAAAATAAACCAAAACAAATCACATGCTGTCAAGGCTGTAGAAAAAAGGGAACTCTTATACATTGTTGGTGGGAATGTAAATTAGTACAGCCATTATGGAAAACAATATGGAGTTTTCTGAGAAAAATAAAAATACAACTACCATATGATCCAGCAATCCCACTACTGGGTATTTATACAAAAGAAAGGACATCAGTATATGAAATAGCTACCTGCACCCCCCATGTTTATTACGGCACAATTTACAATAGCCAAGACATAGAATCAACCTAAGTGTCCATCAGTGGATGAATGGATAAAGAAAATGTGGTATATATACACAAAGGAGTCATAAAAAAGAATGAAATCCTGTCATTGGCAGTAACATGGATGGAACTGTAGATCCTTATGTTAAATGAAGTAAGCCAGGCATAGTAAGACAAATATCACATATTCTCACTCATATGTGGAAGCTAAAAAAGTTGATGGCATGGAAGTAGAGACTAGAATGATGGTTACCAGAAGCTGGGAAGGGAGGGTGGGATGGGAGGTAAGAGAGCTTAGCTAACGGATACAAATGCACAGTTAGGTAGAAGGAATAACTGCTTAGTGTTCAATAGCACAGTAGGGTGACTATAGTTAACAATAATTTATTATATATTTCAAAATAGCTAGAAGAGAAGATTTGAAATATTCTCAATACAAAGAAATGATAAATATTTGAGGTGATGGATATCTTACCATGATTTGATCATTACACGTTATGTACATGTATGAAAATACATACATATCATACATGTACCCCATAAATATGTACAATTATTATGTATTAATTATATATGTCATCCAACGATATTTCAGGAAAGGGAGTATTCAGTGTTGTTATGATAACTCATGATCTATATGATGCACTTCCTCAAACATCTCTTTTAATTCTTAACACACATCTACGACATTGATTACATTGTTGCCATGTGTCCCTGAGGCTCAGAGAGGTTATATGACATTATCAAGGTCACATAGTCAGTCAATACACGGCAAAGTAAGAACTATGTTAATCTATTGGGCAAAAGAATTCAATGCTTTTCACACCGAGACTATTTCCAACTCCTCAGGGATATTTTCTGTTGCCAGAGAACTTCTAGCCTCATGAAACAAAGGTAAGGAGTCAGGGAGAGATTTGAAAAGAGTCAAAAGTGAATCTGCCTTTCACAGCCCCATAGAACAGAACAGCATTCTCACAGATACCAAAGGTGACTGGGTTTTGAGCCACTTCTCTGGGCGAGGCACTGTGCCGCAGGCTGCTCATCTGTGATCTCTTTGTCTCCACAATAACTCTGTGGAACTTGGCATTATCCTAATTGTTCAGGAGTTTAGGCAACTTACTAAAAGATATGGTTGTTCTGGGGCAGAGGTAGGATTTGAATTCAGAGCTGTCTGAATCCAACATTTATTCCCCCTACTATACTCTGTTTTAAACAACATTCTTAGAAAACTTAAATTCTGTGTCATGTTACGGGCTGCCTAAAATGAAACTGTAAATGCACTAGGATGAATTTACCCTCCATACCATGTGAGTCTGGGCATTATGAATGTATGAACTATACTGGTGCACTCCCATTAATGAATGGGAGTCAAGTTCTTCCCATTATCTTAGAAACAATTAAAATGATGCAGAGGAAGAGACTGGGAACTTGGTACCAGGTCTTTTAGATTGGCTCGATTATCAAATACTGAGAATTCTAGCTACCACGGGCTGTTTGAGATGTGCCAGGCATTATTCTAAGCACTTGGCATGGATTGTCTCATTAAAACCTCTCACCAACCCAATGAGGTAGCTACTCGTAATATCTGCATTTCTCAGATGAGGTTTAGAGAGGTTAAGTAAATTTCCCAAGGTTCCAAGAATGCTGGTTACCCCAGCCCTACGCCGCATCCCACTAGGACAGATTTCTTAGAAGAACATTTTTATCTGGAGTCTTTAACTCCTATCGCTATTCCCCTAAACACATTGGATTATTTATTATAAAGGGAAAGCAGCCTTCATTGATCCAGACCCATCGATAAAAAGGCTTTTTATGTCTAATCTCTTTTGATAGAAATGTTCTTTGTTTTCCCTAATGGACCTGAAAAATAAAGCCAATAGGCAGACGAAAGAAAAACTTACAGCCTTATTTTTATAGTTGTCAGTCAACTTTTTTTCTGTCTTCTGAGGTTTTCTAAAATACTAAAAATTTCCCATGTTTCTGCCTGGATCTTTGTCTAAATTCTTTACCAATGATGCTTCTTGCCTGATTGCTATCTGGAGGAGATCGGTGTTTTCACAATTAGCCAGAATTCCAGTGGATGCTGCCAGCCACAGCAAGGCAATGTGGGGCAGTGGCCCCGGGGTCCTGTGTTTTGAGGGGATCCCTGATGCTGCCGAGAAATCAGTTACAGGAACTGCCACCCACCCAAGTAGCGCCGGAACGCTGGACTGCTGCTCCCAGCCAGTAGCCTTGGGAGTCAGCCACTAAAGCCACAGCTCTGCTCCCTGCCACTCCCAGCCCGTCCTCATCTGCCGGCTTCCTTCTCCATCCCTGCCAACTCCAATGAGAACCACAGCCACTTGGAGCTGGAGGAGAACCTGGAGATCATCTAGCACCCTCCACCATTTCACAGAATGGGAATCCAAGGTTCAGAGAGGGGAAGGTGATCCCCGTAGGCTGGTTCTTGGAGTCCCGTGGACCACGCACCCCTGTGCTCACTTGGGAGTGGAGAAGACTGCATTGGGCAGTATTCCCCTGAGGAGGCGCCCTGGATGTTTTCAAAAGAAATACTTTTGATAAAGCTGAGAGTGCGGGAGGGTAAGGCACCACCCCCATTCCCTAGGACATGGTCAAACTGTGAAAGACAAGTGCAAATTGTTAAGCAGGAGGCCAAGAGATAAAAGGGGAGGGTTTGTTTGAAGAAGGGAAGAGAGGAAAAGAGCTCCTGTTTTCCGAAGAAGAGAATAGAGCCAGTAAAATAGTAGAGGGGTTGTGGGCTATGTATTTGACCCCACCTCCACAACCCAAAATCTTCAGTAAAATAAATATTCACACTCACCAAAACCTTTGGCCTGGGGGAGGTTTACAGTGGAAACTAATATAGGAAACCAACCAAGGGGCTAAGTTTGGTCCACGTTGTTCAAGAAAGAAACAGTGTATATGGAAACAGGAGTCCAAGGGCCAGAGGAAACCATTAGACTCTCAGTCCCTGTGACTTTGTAAATATCTAGGGGGAGAGCTTTGGACTTCCATGGGCTATTGGATTGGTGGGGGGTTGTGCCAAGTGCACCCAGATCTCTGAAATGCAAGGGCTGATACTTTGCATGGCATAAAGACATCTTTGTGGAAGCAGGGAGCTGCCCACAGTGTGCCTGGCCCACCTGAGGATGGCCCTGAAGGGTCTGGGTCACAAGGCATTTAATCTGGGCCTGGAATAAGAATGAAAGGTAGAAATGAGGCAAGAGCCTACAGCAGGAAAAATACTTAGTGGAAGGGCAGGATCCCTGTTGTAGTCAGTTTGGGCTGCTAAAACAAAGTACCATAAACTGGTGGCTTATAAACAACAGAAATTTGTTTCTCACAGTTCTGGAGACCGGAAGTCTGGGATCAGGGTGCCAGCATGGCCAGGGGCTGGCTAAAGCCCTTTTATGGGTTGTAGACGGCTGTCTTCTCTTTGTATCCTCACATGGCAGAAAGACAGTCAGGCAGCTCTCTGGGGTCTCTCCTATAAGGGCACTAATACTATTCCTGAGGGCTCTACGCTCATAAACTAAGCATCTCCCAAAGGCCCCACCTCTTAGTACCATCCCACTGAAGGTTAGGATTTCATTGTGTAATACACACAATGGAGGGAAACAAACCTTCAGTCCATTTCAATCCCTTTATAGCTGGACTCAGAATAAATTTGGTGTGAATGGGTGGGATAAGAGAAAAGGAAGAGAACACAGTCCTCATAGTCCTTCTTGATGTATTACTTATCTGCATACTAACCTGTGACCCATGTCTATGGATCACGTGTCACCTTCATAAAAGCCGGAGTCCCTTAGGTGCAAAGAAGTGTCACAATCAAAGAAACAGCCTAGCAGATGAAACAAATGTAAAAGCTACTCTTATGTTTACTTGGGTTTCTCAATATCATTTATGGAACTCCCATGTACAACCCACAGCAATACCTACTAAAATTCCTTGTGCTTTCTTCCCCAGTGCTTGCGTACCCTAAAATAGCATCTTCCTCCAGCCCCCAACTGCAAACTCTCCCTATTGGAAATTATCTGTCTCTTTATCCCTCTCTTCTCCCTCTTTGCCCTATGTCATGTAGATCAGCTTAGCCTCTCCAACTTCTATTTTCATTTTCGCTTCACTTTTGATCAGTACCCTGTTAATTCTTCCTTTTCCCTCCTACAGCTCCCATCTTGATCCTTCCTCCATTCTCCTAAGTGTCCATCACAAGGAGGATGGGAACAAAGCTGCTGAAACCAGAAATCTCCCAGGGCCAGGGAAAAGGAGAAAGAGAGGGTGAAGCCAGAGGGCAAAACTAAACTCTCAAATGAGAAGGGTAAACAAAGCTGGAGCACATATATTAATATATCTTTCACTACTATGAATGGAACATGCGGTTTTAGGGGATTTCATGAGATTTAAACTCATCTTGTGCATCTAAATCTTGCTCAATTTCCCCATTTAGGAGGATTGAGTGGTGGCGTTATAGGTGGTCTGATGACTACAGACTTTGTCACCGTTTCTGGAAAGGCAAAACATCTGAAAAAAAGATTCTTTCATTTCTTTAACTGAAGAGTAACAATGTTGGTCAATCAGTAAAAGTCCATACTACTCCTTAATCCAATCTAAGAGCCCAGTTGCAGATCCTGAGCTTGGCACTGGTAGATAGGTGCTTGCCAAATACAGTTTAATATGGAATTTTCAAGAGCAAAGTCTAGTCCGTGGCTTATACATTTTCCCAACCAGCTCGCAAGTACATCCTGTCCGTGCTGAGTAAAATCTCTAAGAACTGCTCACATCCAGGCCTCTGAGGGCCTCCGTGGGAGAGGTGATATTCTGACATGTCTGCTTTTGCTTTCCCCAGTGGTGTGAGCAGAACGAGCAGTGCAGACGTCTGCACCTGCCCGAGCTGCTGGTGGCTCCGCTACACAGGCTTACCCGATACCCCCTGTTGCTGAAGAATATCTGGAAAAGGAGTATAGACGCTGCTGAGAAAATCATGATCTACTCCATCAAGGAAAAGGTGGAAAAGTCAATCCGTAAGTCCCTGAGATAAGTGAGCTTAATGAAAGAGTTGGGGCCGTGTGACTCCTGGGAAACATCTGGGCTTCCATCCTAGAAGGTAATTCCACTGACCTGAGGTCACGGCTGTCGGAAACGTGGACTCAACTTTGAGCGCGTTTTGTAAATCAAACACACACAGAACAATGGGCTCCGGTCACATCCTGGCGGGCCCTATGAGAACTCTAACACCCGGCTTACACAGGACGTGGCTCTGTCTCCAAGGGTTTCAGAAGTGAGTTCAGGCAGGAAAACTTCTACTTCCCAGAGGATGGAAGGCACTTTGTTTTTAACATCCATACTGAACCCACACACAAAGCGAATGGGAATAAACACCATGGAAAGCGTATCCGGAGGATAAATCACCATTCATCATTTTTTTAAAAAATCCCTGAAATCCAGAGACAATGTAAAACTAATGTCAACTGCAGTCTTTAGAAGTGAAACATGGGGATGGGAACTGAGCAAGCCCTAAGATGACTTAAGTTAATTTGTGTAGTTCTGTGCAATGGAAACTCAAATAAAGAAGTCCATGATTTATGTCCATAAACCAAGATTTCCTAGTAGGCATCAAAAGGGAACAGTCCAATTGGATAATTATCAGCTCTACAGAAATGATATTCTTTTTCTTTTGCAAGTTTTTGTTTTTTAATTTTTTTTCTCTTGTGTAAGTTTAAAAGTTAATTATCATTTAGTTGGGATTTCTTTTCTCTTTTGAAATTTTTTGTTCAAATTCTAAAATTACCTGAAGAACTGGAATTAAGTTTATCAAGTGAATAAGACAAAAATTCCAATAAAGACTGACTTTTTAAAAATGTAAAAAATAATTTTAAGGATTACTACTCATTTGAATATGTTTGTGAGGGAAGAGAATGGAAGCTCTTCTAGAGATTTTACAATAAAATATGGATTCTCATTATTGAGGGAAGAAATCTGCATGGCCTTCCTTTAAGTCTAATACCTTAAAGAGGATGAATTCTCAGGGGTTCTACTAACAATACAATTCCATGTGTGTATGCCTTCCAGTCCATTTTTGCAAAAACCATTTCAAAATCCAAATAGCAACATTGAGATTCTTTTTTATAAAATGTTGGAAAATTAATACAAATCTTTATAAGAAAAATTGAGTTCTTACCAAAAAGAAATAGTCATCCTCATCATGAAGTTAATGTGTTTTATGATCAGCACAAAAAGATATATTTGTCTTCGTTAGACTTATTGTTTTTTCTTCCTCTAATTACCAGCTCTGTGGTATAGGGAATAAGAGAAAACTACCAAGGGATTTATTAGTGTTATTGAAATAAAAATGCACAATGCATCTCCAACTTACCGAATTAAATTGCTTAAGCTTCATTTTTCTCTGCAAGAGGCTGACTTCAAATTAGTGAGTTTTCTTAGACACATAAACAGCAAGTAATTTGTCAAATGAGCCTAAAATATGGTTTGGCTCCAAGGGCAGCCAGTGTCTCTAAAAGGATTACTGTGACCTGGGTTAAAATGTATGCTACAATGTCACATGCATTTAAATATATTCTGAATGTGTCTTGTCTTTCAGGGGATCTTGAAGGAAAAGTGAAGTGGCTGGACAATTTCCAAAAATTTCGACATCTACAGGAGATTATAGTGTGGCCTCCACTTTGGGATAGAGATAAAAGGTTTTTCATTCCAGAGGTACAAAAAAGGATCAATTAGGACTTAAATCCCTTTCTGGAAGTTTGGCATTCAGGTGAAAATGCAATAGTCTTAGAAAGTCCCATGTGTCCACTTAAAGAATAAATCTAGTTTTATGGGGCATTGCATATGGGGAGGCTAATGTTATTGTGACATTCTTGGGATGGTCCTTCTTAAAGGTTTTCCCATTCTTGTTCATTCCTATGTCTATCTGCTGGCATTCCCAAATGTTGTGAACTTTCTAGATGGAGTTGATTATCCCAGCTCCTTCATCATGTTCTCTTCCAATCACTAACAACAACTCTTTTATTTTCTCCCTTGTTTTGCAAGTGTTTGAAACACATTTTTAAAGAACACATGGCAGAAAACGTCTTGTCACCAACCAACAGACACCTTCTCTATGAAGGCAAATTAACTCTTGCAGGTAAATAACTGCTTCCTTTAAAAACTCAACATCTTTGCTACCTGTAACTTGTTCAATTGCCATTAATTGAAGGGTAGGTGGAAGAGCAGCCTTGGAGAGACAAGGTTCCCAGCAAAGAGTATAGAAGGATGAGCCTCAGAGGCTGGTTGCCTGGATCACTCCCTGCTTGGCTTTTTCAGCCTGTGCAACCCTTGGGCCAGTGACAGTGACTTCCCATGCTTCAGTTTACCCTTCTGGGAGGATTAAATGAGGCAACAGATGAACAAGCACTTGAAAGAATGATTGACACAACCTTTGTGCTCAGTAAATATTATGATGATCAGAAAGAGCTGCCTAACTAAAATAAGATTCTCAATCATTCATTTACTCATTTCTGCATGAAGCCTTGATTGGGCACCTACCGAGTATGAAGCCCTGTGGGATGGGACGTTGCCCATCTGTGATGCTGTGCGATCAGTGGGCAGGTGCTGGGGAGTAATTCCCTACTCAGTACATGGATTGAGACTCTGCTGTACTCTAGGTGTAGCACTGAATATCAGGGTAGCACATAATGCCCGCCCTGGTGGCTGGGCATATCCGGAAGATAGACACATGCAGTGTTTCACATCCACTGAATATCAGGGTAGCACATAATGCCCGCCCTGGTGGCTGTCATATCCGGAAGATAGACACATGCAGTGTTTCACATCCAAGCACTTCTCCATACACTCTTTCCAGTGAGTTATACAGAGAAGTTACCTTTGATCCCATGTTGTAGGTGAGAGATCTGAGGCTCAGGGAGGTTCCATGCCATGATAGAGGTCACCTGGCCAGTAAACATCAGAGCACCACCTCCAGCTCAAGTCAGGCTGCCTCTGCCTGGTGGGCTTCCAGAATTATAGCAACTACCTTGGGAGCCAAACAGAGAGACCCAGCCAGGAAAATGCAAGCAACAAGAAGTCACTGAGTTCTCAGACAGGAAAGTGATAGGATTAAAAGAGTGTTGAAGAAGGAGTTATTAGTATCAGGATGCAATGCACAAAATGGCACAGAGGAGACCAAAGCAGAGAGACCAGTAGAGAAACCGGAAGCTCAGCAGGGTGAGGTGAGAAGACTCTGAGCTAATGAAGCAAAACACAATTCCATGTTCAAACATATATTTTTCTTCCCTCCAAAATTGGCCTCTACCTGAAATTATCCGAGATTTTGGTTCACCCCTTTCCTCTACCTACCCACCTCCCAAGATGGTAAGATGCATTGGCCTCTCCTATTGTAAAATGCTAGAAATGGCCATGATAGAAAAGGGAAAGTGCAAGAGATATTTCAAAGGCAAAAACAGGAGGAATTTATGATTGATAAAGTGGATGAAGAAGAAATGAGTTAAAGATGCCTTCAAGTGTTCTAATCTATGTGTCTGAAAGTTCAGTAACACTGTGGGTGGTGGAGATAGTGGGATAGAAAGTCAATTTTTGGCTTCAGGCTTGGGTATCATGAGAAGCCATGTGGAAGCTGGATGAACATCTCCTAGTGGGTGAAAAGCTACATTAGATGTGCCTTCACTTGTCACATGCAGATGGGAGACTCACCTAAGAAGGAGTCTTCATAGATAGACGCGACTTTTACAGAAAATGCTTCTTGTATGGTCAAATGTAGTGGAATGGGGATGAATACAAAACATCACTAACACCAGGCATACGTTAATGGCATATGCTGTATTAGTCAAATTCTGTTGGAGGAGGAGACTCCATATAGTATAGTCTATATGGTGTCAAATCAAGTTTAAAGCCAATGATATTTTTACTCAGAGTTGGGCATAGAGATTTGATGGGGGCAGGGTAACAGTGTTAGAAGAAGAAAGACATATCACTTCTCAGCCTTTTGGCTAAGATTAAGTGAAGAAACAGGACATGATTTTGAATGGAAAAAGCATTGGACCAAGAATCAGGGGAGCTAACACCAGTTGTGAGCTTTGGGAAAATTGTTTAAGTTTCTTTACTCTCTTCTGTAAATGTCGTTGATGATGATAATGATGATGACAATGATGGTGATGAAACCTAACACATATTGTCTTTCCAAATTTCTTCCAGCTTTAAAAAAGGTGTACTATTGTTCTCATTCCCAGAATGCACAAGTTTTCATAATTTGATTCATAACTTGCTTAGTAGAACACAAGGGCCTCAGTAAATGATAGCTAAAATAATAATTTCCTAGACTAAAGTCTTGGACATATAAGGTGTTTGCTGCCTGCTTGTTAAAATACAATGCTTGAAATTGGAGAAAACAGAGCTATTATTTCATTTTGACAAGGATCATCAAACTAATTCATATATGAGTGTCAGAGGGTGGGGAAAACAAATTTAACAGGTCTTGAAGGTTGCTATGGACTGAATTATGTCCCCCCGCCCATACACAATTCATATATTGAAGATTTGTCTTCCAGTGTGGCTGTATTTGGAATAAGAAAGTAAGTAAGGTAAAAGAAGTCATAAGGCTAGAGCACCGATCCAATAGGATTAGTGTCCTAATAAGAGGATACAGCCTAGAGCTCATTCTCCCTCTTTGCCATGTAAGCACATACCTAGAAGGTGGCTGTCTGCAAGCCAGGAAGAGAGCCCCTATCAGGAACTGAATCGGCTAACTTGATCTGGTACTTCCCAGCATCCAGAACTGTGAGATATAAATTCCTATTATTCAAGCCACCTGTCTATAGTAATTTGCTATGGCAACCTGAACTAAGATAAAGGTCTAGTGTTGTTCCATTCCTAGCCCTATGTATCAGTTGGGATATAGATCCAGGCACTGGAGACAGAGATAGATAACAATTGCCTAAAAAGATAGTTTATTTCTCTCATGTTAAAGCCCAAGCTATGTGACAGCTGCACTTCATAAAGTGATTAGAAATCCATTTTTCTTCTGTCTTATTGCCATCCCTAGGGTATTGCTTTCTTTTGTGTAGGCTAAGATGATTCACCAATGTATCTGCATTCTACCCAGTGAGAAAAACAGAAAGGGACACAACAGCTTAGCCCTACTCTTTACAGATATGACTCAGAAGTTGTGTACTTTAATTCACAGTCCATTGGTCAGAATTTAGTTCCTGGGTCATATTCAGCTGCAGGAGAAGCTGGAAGGTGTAGTATTTATCCTTGGTTGATGTGTACTCACTAAAACTTGAGAATTTCATTACTACAAAAGAAAGGGAGAATGATTTTTGAGGGATGACCAGCAGTCTCTACAAAAGTAAAGTTTCTAATAGTGATGGAATATAATTTTTAAAAAATATTCAAAGACTATCCAAATTGAATAAAATACCTGATTTCTCTTCTCTGCAAATATAGAAAGAATCTTGCCTCTCAGCTTAAAGTAGGAAAGGAAATAGAAATGAATCCTAAATGTTTTATCTATTAGTTTAATCTTTGCCACCTAGCTTCCAGGGATAATAGCATATGAGAAAGAACTTCTAGAGTAAATATAATAAATAGAATAAATAAATATAATAAATGGAACAAACTAAAAAAATTTACTGGGTTTTCCTATGTTTGCTTTAAGCACCTGTCACATGCCCCTCAAAACAGACTCCCTTGTCCTCTGAAATCACTTAAATTTAACCATTTCTTTTTTCTAACTGCTGTCTAAAAGACAGCAAAATAAGGAAGGGGATACCTTATGCTAACATTTGGTTTCTCTTCTACTGCTATTCCCTTTTAAGGAAAAGTAAAGAAGCCTATTTGCCTTCAGTATCTATCCAAAGTAATATTGGAAAAGTTTATAAATATAAAACCATGTCAGAATATTTAAACATTTATAGACACATTGTAAAATTTGAGAAATTAGTTTTAGTGATGGTCTTAGCATGGGCTGCCATAACAAAATACCAGAGAATGAGTGGCTTAAACAGCACAAAAATTTATTTCACAGTCTGGAAAGTCCCAGATCAAGGTCAGCCCTTAATGAGGGCTCTCTTCAGGATGAGAGAGAGCGAGCTCTCTGGGGTTTCCACTTATTAGAACACTAATGCGACGGGATCAGGGCTCTAGCCTTTTGACCTCGCTTTAGTTTAATGACTTTCTTACTCGAAATACAGCCACACTGGGAGTTAGGACTTCAACATATGAAATTTGAGGGGACACAACAGCATAGTCCATAGCAGCGACAAAATGTCTTTCTCTGATAATATGCGCCCTTCCAATAACCACCCAGATGGATCAAGAGGCAGAAATGCCATGAGTTCAATTAGCTGATGGATTTGTCCTAGGCTTATTTGAAGCCATTACAAATATCACCCGAGTTATCTCAGATTCACATGAGATGTATCACAAATACAACTGTCTTTAAAGTTGGAAGCTTGGGCTCTAATCAAGTCTGCTTTAGGCAGAAATCAATTCAACATTAATGCAGGCAGTTTTCTGACCCACATGATTGGAGCTCCCTGGTGTGCCATAATACCCACCTTGTTTTGTTTTATTAAGAAATTCATTGATTTAAATTAAATTAAAAATCCTTCTACTTCCTGTTTCAAGTCCCCATTTCACCTTCTCTTTCTCTCCTCAGAAAGCACAAGATTCCTAGACGTTTATCTGTTTCTCTTTAACGATTTCCTCTTAGTTACCAAAACTAAGCGCAACAAAAAGGTAAAATGCTGCTATTTCTAAATAACTTTCTAAATAAGTTTGCTACATGGGTTTAGAAATATTTCTAGATAAGTTGCATTAAAAATGTAAAATATTCTTATACATCAAATTGAATCTCTCCCTCTAAAAAGTGGAGGCATTATAAAATATTGTCTTTTTTAGTCAGATAGCTCTGAATTGAAAAAATAAAAATAAAAACAAAAGCAAACTACATCTCTCAAGGATGTTGAGGGAGGGTAGACATTATGTTAATTTTTTTGTTTTTAGTTAGTATGGGCACATAAAGCTGCATATCTTTATAGGATACATGTGATGTTTTGATACAGGAATACAATGTGAATTAATCAAATCAGGGCAATTGGGGTAACCATCACCTTAGGCACTTAACATTTCTTTGTGCTGGGAAAATTTCAATTCCACTCTTTTAGTTATTTTAAAGTATACAATAACTTATGGGTGATTATAGTCACTTTGTCATACCATCAAATATTGTTCATTCAATCTATTTTGCACACATTAACCATCCCTCCATTATCCTCTTGCCCCTTGCTACCCTTCCCAGCCTCTGATAACCATCATTCTATTCTCTGTCTCTATGAGATCAATTGTTTTTAATATGTAGCTCCCACATATGAGTGAGAACATTTGATATTTGTTTTTCTGTGCTTGGCTTATTTCACTTAACATAATGTTCTTCAGTTCCATCCATGTTTTGCAAATGGCAGGGTTTCATTCTTTTTGTGGCTATATAATATTCCAATAATCCATTGATGGACACTTAGGTTGATTCCATATCTTGGCTATTATGAATAATACTACAATAAATATGGAAGTGTAGATGTCTTTCAATATACTGAATTCCCCTTCTTTGGATATATGCCCAGCAATGGGATTGCCAGGTCATGTGGTAATTCTATTTTAAGTTTTTTGAGAAACCTGCATAATGTTCTCCATAGTGGCTACACTAATTTACATTCCCACCAACAGTGTAGAAGGGTTCCCCTTTCCCCACATCCTGGCCAGTATTCGTTATTGCCTGTCACTTGATAAAAGCTATTTTAACTGAAGAGGATATTTAACTGAGAGGATATTTTATTGTAGTTTTGATTTGAATTTCTCTGATGACTAATGATTTTTTTATATACCTGTTGGCCATTTGTAAGTCTTTTTTTGAGAAATGTTTATTCAGATCTTTTGCCCATTTTTTAGTCAGATTATTTGAATTTTTTCTTATTGAGTTGTTGGAGCTCCTTATATATTCTAATTATTAATCCCTTGTCAGATGGTTCGTTTGAAAATACTTTCTTCAGTCTGTGAGCTGCCTCTTCACTTTGTTATTTCCTTTGCCTTACAGAATCTTTTTAACTTGATGTGATCCCATTTGTCCAATTTTGTTTTGGTTGCCTGTGCTTTGGGGTTATTACTCAAGAAGTCCTTGCCCAGAGCAATGTCCCCAAGCATTTCCCCAGTGTTTTCTTTTAGTAGTTTCATAGTTTCAGGTCTTATATTTTAGTCTTTAATCCATTTTGATTTGATTTTTGCATACAACAAGAACCTAGTTTCATTCTTCTGCATATGGATACCCGGTTTTCCTAGCATCATTTATTGACGAGACTGCCCTTTCCCCACTTGCATTCTTGGCACCTTTGTCAAAGATAAGTCCGCTTTGGATGTGTGGATTTATTTCTGGGTTTTCTATTCTGTTCCATTGGTGTATATGTCTGTTTTTATGCCAGTACCATGCTGTTTGGTTACTACAGATCTGTAGTATAATTTGAAGTCAGGTAATGTGATTCCACCAGTTTTGTTCAGTATGGCTTTGACTATTTTGGGTCTTTTGTGGTTCCATATAAATTTTAGGATTCTTTTTTTTATTCCTGTGAAGAATGTCATTAGTATTTTGATGGGCATTGCATTGAATCTGTAGATTGCTTTGGGTAGTGTAGACATTTTAACAATATTGACTCTTCAAATCCATAAACATGGAACGTCTTTCCATTTTTTTGTGTGAGGAGGAATTGCCATATGTATTAAGCCATCAGAGATAACTAATGGTTTTTATTCTACTCATTTCTTTATCAGATAACTAGCCTTACACAGACAATAATATCATAAGACTACAAATCTCATATCTTTTAATAAGCTAAGTTTCTTGGTGGCATTGATTGGTTGAGTCAGGGGTGGGAAAACTGCAGCCTCAAGGCCACATGTGGCCTTCTAGATCCCCAAGTGCAACCTCTTGTCCGGATCTAAACTGCACAGAACAAATCCCTTTATTGAAAAATTTGGATTCAGTCAAAAGGCCACACTCAAGGATCCAGAGGCCACATGTGGTCCCAAGGCTGCAGGTTCCCTTAAGCCATTAAAAATAGACACCCATTAATCAATCTATGAATAGCTGATTGGTGATTTGGGAGGGAGTGGACGTTGGACAATATAAGAGTCACACTTTGGGAATTTATATGGCCTCCTATTTTAGGTTATTCAGACTAGCATGTCTGAACAAGCCAAGTTCTGAAAATCTCTACCCCTTAAAAAATCTTGATGTTACCACAGCTGACCTTCACTTCAAATAATGATACAAATCAGAACACATGCATTTAACAGCAGCCCATATTGACGAGGTGATATTCTGGTTTCCTGCTTTACAACTTGATTCCAAAATAAAGACTATTACCAGTTTACATGTCTCTTTGATATTTTTGTATACAATATATATCATGCAAATCACAATATTTTACACCTTTTTAAAAAGTTTCAGCATCTTATATATTCAACTATTTACAAATTCTGGAGCATGGAATCTAGTTAGAGTTTAGTATTAGATCCCATGCATAGAATTGGCCTTTCTCATTCATCTAACTCAATACTATAGAGAGATTAAGACACTAAGAATGAAGATTTTTCCCATTGATGTGATGGTGATTTATTTATTCAGGTAATTAAACTTGGTGAATCAGAAACACTTTGCTTTAAATCACTATGCTTTGGGGAAATGCCTTTTTTAAGATCCAGAAAACATAGTATGCTAGATTTCAAGCAATTGTTTTTAAGAATCTATTTGCTTAAGGATGCACTTTAGGTATCAGCAGCAATATTTACTTTCTATTTATCACATTATTTTCCTTATTAATTGCAGAAAGTTGGAGGCTCAGACACTGGTTTAATGTGTCCTTCTCTTACTCCTGAGCTGCAGACAGTAATAAAGGAGGGTGGTTCGTGTACGGTACTTGATCAGCCTATTCCACTAGATAGATTGGTAGTCAAAAGTATTGATCCACTCCACGTGTCAGGTATGTGTTCATTTCCATTATTCAGCTCATCTGCTTGCCAGCACACGTTTTCTATTGGCCTATTTTGGTAGCAGGACATGAATCCAATTAAAGTCTTCGTAAAAGATACAACTGTGTTCATATGTGGCTATATATCATTCACTTTATAAATTAGTTATTGTGTCCAATGCTCAGATGATACGACACTGCCACTTGCTAGCTGTTTGACCTTAGGGAAGGCATTTAAATTTTCTAAGTCTCAGGTTCCTTTTGGTAAAATGTGGATAATAATATCTAATTCAATGGGTTTTCATGAGAATTAAATGCAATAATGTATATAATGTAGTCAATAAATGATAGGTGTTGTTAGTATTATTATAGTAATAGTATTAATACTATTACTATTGTTAAAGTACTGGTAAACCATGATGTGCTATGCAAGCATATTTTATTATGCTGTAGAAAGAAATATGCAAGAAATTAAATATGTAAATATATATGCACATATATATGCATGTATACACAAACGCACACATCAGAAATATATATCATTTTTAATCTTTTATGCAAGCATTTCCTGTGTGTCTCCTGAGAGCCTAGCACTCAGCAGGCGCCGCAGTTACAAGATGAATAAGAAACAGCCCCCGTCCATGGGGAGCTCTAAGAATAATGAAAGATCAGTAAATCCTTTGCAGGAAAGCCATGGGACTCTGAGGGACTTGAAGGACATTCCCGTCTCCTCGGGGCTGGGTAGGTGGTGGCAGTGTTCAGGAGGACGCAGGCTTTTAGACCAGCTGAGGCCAGGCAGGTGGGAATTGCCTTCCTGTTCCACTAGAGGAGCAGGAAAAGCGGGGGGGGGGGGACACACTCACCACTCCCCTCCATCGCCACCCCAGCAGGCAAGCCCAGGGCTTCAGTGACTAGCACAGGACAAACGCATACATACTACAGCAACCTTAAGGAATGGATGAATGACTATACAAACAATAATAGCAAACGTTGATACAGTTATGCTACACAACCAAGCTATGTTATATTATATATTTAAGCGCTGTCCATATATTAAGTTGTGAATGGCTGCAACCTCTCTCCCCACGTGCAGAGGGGAAGCCTCTATCCACAGATAGAGCCATCTGCCTCCTATGTCTATTCTTCCCACATTTCAGTAAGGTTTGCTGGAAAGTGACAAGGTACGGGCCTTTGAAGGCCTCTTATTTTTATTTGATCTGACTGGGACCAGCCACAGTCTCCATGGGCCAAAGTCTGCATGAGCCAGAGAGCCGTACAGGAGCAGGCAGGCAAAGGGCCGTGTCTGGGTGGCACAGCCGCTGCCCGGAGGGGACGCTCACCTCCAGTGTGGGTCCCTTCCTCGTTCCAGCACAGCGACAGGGTCTAGATACAGCAGATTCGGTACTTAGGGCCAAAAATCACCTCCATTTTGTGGTTTGTTATTTAGTTTACTTTTACTGGGAAAAAAAATACCATGGAAGAGGGCATCCTGTGCTGGAACTCTATTGCATAGTCAAGGTCTATTGCCTTGACTGGTCAGACGCAGGGCAGGAGGCAGACCAGCTGTGGCATGGGAAAGAGGAGATGGGGACCAAAGAAAGAGGTTGAGCTTTCAAGTGACAGGGACCTAATTCAAAATCCTGGCTATGTCATTTACAAGCTGTGTTGCCATGGGAAAATTAATAAGTCTGTTTCCTCATGCGCAAGTGGGAATTAGCTGACCTATCTTACAGGGTTGCTGTATGGTTTAAATGACACAGAATGGAGAAAAAACAGTGTGGTGGCCGGTATATAGTAAATGCTTCAAAAATGGTGTCAATTATTATATTAAAATGTCAGGGGAAAAAAGTGCTATTCCTGTCCATATATTATCTCCTTATTGTATCTTACAGGCCTAGCCATGCCAGGTTCTTTTGCTTATAAAGTTTTTTTGTACTGATATTACAAACCAAACGGATGAGGGATGCCTTGAATAAATTTGAGAACTACAGGTACAATTTTCTAGGAAAATGGGTTCCAAAACCCAACCAAAAACAACCACCTGATCTTTAAAAAGCCTCACTTGCTACAGGGAATCTATAAGGAGAAAGATCAGGGAGTAAAATAAACATAGCCATATTTTTCTTTGCCAGAAAGTCATTTTAATAGTTGTAAGTCCTCTCACCCCAGAGAAGCTGGACAGAATTTCATGACCTGACCTTAACAGACTTTGTTACAGTAGAATTTAGAAATTATGATGTTATGGGTATAATCTGTGGTACTGGAATAGTTCTTAACAGTTAAGAAAATAAAAGTCTGGTGTTCTCTTGGGTTCTGAAATGAAGCCCAACTCCCCTCAAAAAAGTCTGAGTTAAACTCACAAAATCAACAAATAAAAACAAGGGCAGTAGATATGCATCAGCTTCATGATCAACCAGGAATAAAAGTTCCTGCCTCTCTTTCTGCTCCCTAAAGTATTTGATATGAGCAGCAGACAGCCCTGGTTTGGTTTTTTGTTTCTAAACATTAATGAACTATAGCAACAATTATAAACTACCGAATTTTATTCCCTGTGTTGTAATAATTTAAGTAAGAGATTTTCATTTTAAGAGCTCCTGCTATTAAAAAAAAAAAAAAAAAAAAAGGAATCTGCTCTTCCAGTAGTACCTCCTTGTCATTTCCTTGAGACTGGCTAGGAAATGACAGAACAGACTTTCTTTTACGAACACAGAAACCATGCCAGCATCCCTTTTGGTTTTGTTTTGTTTCACATTTCACACAGTTTGGTGCATACTGCATTTTCTTTGAGTCTGTTTTCTAGCTTTTCTCAGCCTATCATGAGGCATTCAGGTGGTTTTGTATTTTTACCACATCTTAATTTGTTTATAAATCTTGTTTTGATGTGACTTTTCTTAAAATACAAAAATAAATTATTTTAAAAAAGGAGTGGGGGGCCAAATAAGAAAATAACATTGTTTTCCACATTTTTATTATCTGTATTTCCATACACACAAGACCCACCTGATATGCTCCGCTTGTTCTGTGAGAAAGAGCCTCTTTCCCCTCAGTGAAGCCATAATTGCATTTCATCGAGTTCCAGATAAAGTCCCAGTCCCTTAGTCGTTAGCTAAGGAAGAAAGGGTTTTGTATTCAAGGGGGCTGTATTTGGACATAATAATGGAGTCTTGGCCTTGAAATCAATTTTTTTAGCAATATATGTAAATCTTCTACCACCATTAAAAGAAAAAAAAATACCCTAGGTTTTTGTACTAAGAAACTATTTGGATTTCATATGAAATGATTTGGCTTTTTGTCTTTGTAATATCTTTTTCTAGTCTTTGGGCTGAGAAATGCTTTTCTTATACAACACGAAAACAGATATCGACAGTGTATAGCAGCATTCTTATTACAAGCCCAAACGGAAAACATCAAAGTATGTATTTTAATTTTGTAGGTCTTTGATTCTTCAGAGTTTACATAAGGAAAAATCTCACCCTAAGTCTCTTTAAGTAACAGTCGATGGAGCATCGAGAGTTTCCCTCACCCGCTTTGGGAAGGGCAGAGCTGGGAGGAGGGGGGAGACATCTAGTCCAGATCACGGCGGAAGCCTCAGTGTTGCCAACTTGCTCACGGTTGCACAGTCGACACAACCTCTCTCACTTTCTCGTGCTGCGGAAGCTCAAGGGCTGCCCCTGAGTTCTGCACTTTCCATAGGAAATGGGGAAGAATTGCTTTGGATGGCATGATTAAATTTTAAGATGCTCCAATCAATTTCCAAAGTGCAAATAATGTGATAGCAGCTTAAGTGAGGGCCTGCTGCAATAACGAGCCAGTCAAGTTGCTCCACCTTTGAAAATATGCCACTGTTTTTTTACAGCTATGGAGTTGAAAGAGCAGCTGCCTGACTCTGGTTTCTCTATCTTAGCAGTTTCTATGTTTGTATTTCCCCTGGAAGGCTTTCGTCATAGCAACTATATGGCCAGACAATAAATGCAGTATTGCATTATTCTTAAGAATTCAATTTCCTGGGTCACTTCCCTCATAGTATGTTTTTCAAGTTATACCATACGTTAGGAACTTTTGTTTCCACACAAAATGGAAATTCAAGAAATTCAACTTTCGAACTATATATATTCTCAGTACTCATTTTGCTAATTAGTCATCATTGACTATATGGGTCCTTGATTACTCATGACTGTTATCCAACTTGCATACCATACTCATTTAACCCATTTGCATTTTCCTATATGATTAGAGGTATTTATATTGGATGTAAGGAAGAAAATGGGAAACATATGCAAATGTTTCATTAGTCTTCAGTTTTAAAGAACAAGTCAATAAATATACTGGAAAAGATTAATCTAAATGTGAGAAATTGTCAGTTTAACAGTCTTTTATATTTATATGTATTTTTTCTTTTTTCAACAGAAGACATGGATGGTACAAATAACAGCAGCAATCTCTTGCTTCACCAAGAATCAGGAAACCAAGAAAATATCTTTATTCACATTGCCTGCAGAATCCTCTGAAATTTAGGGACCTAAAACAAGTGGCATATCGTTTTAGAGATTAGGGCTTAAGGTATTTCTTTCAAACTTTTGTAACACTTATCTAGTGATGAGCTAGAAGGAAAAGTGCTTTTTAAAGGAGTTCCGGAATTTGAGAATTTGAGCTAGGAAAATCCTCAGTATAGAGGAATAGTGACAGCAACAAATTTGAACTCTGAGGAATTTCTTGATAAATATATACTGATATTCAGACTACTTTCTAATATTTCAATCAGGTTTGTAAGAGGTACGAGTGAAGAATGGTGCTATTATAATTTGTAAAGGGTGAATGATCAGATACATGCAGTATCAGAAGGAAAACATTCACTGCTTGTGTCCAACATGAACACCAGCATCTTACTTTGTGTGTATCTGTAAAATAATGAAACCAATTTTCCTACATGGCTTGTAAATCAGTCTTACTGCTTTATAGCCCTACCTCAAACACAATGATAATTCTTTTGATACAAACTTTGATTACTCTTTTAATGTTAGGCAATAAATAAGGTCTACATTTTAATAGTAGCTTTAAAATTTGCATTTTACAACCGTTTATTTATCTCAGGTATACTCTATAATACTCTAACTTGGAAGTAGAAAACCTTGAAGACTAAATTCCATTATCTTATTTCAAGATAGAAAAAACTAGTATCTGTTCTGCTTTTACCAGTTAACACTTTTACATGGGGAATTTTCATAAATATGAATAGCAAGGTATCTTTCTCTTAACTTTGTTTTTTGCAGAATGATGGTGTTTGTCATAAAAATACTTTCTGGTTTTGATTGGTATGTCTGTGTCTATGTGTGTGTGTTAGCACAGTACAGTAACTTAATTTTACATGGCAGGATTTAAAACTTCATTAGAATTTTTATCAAGAAAAGCAGTTTGAATTATTATATACACTATTAATTGCATTTAAGGAACTAGTTCTTAGGGACAGATTATTATATCAAATGAAGTCCACAAACTTCAGTTTCAGGCATGATATTGTTTGAAATTTCCAAAGTGGAAGTAGTAAATTTTTCAAGTTTGTCTGCAAGGCAACTGAGACCATAACTAATTTCTTTAAGCTGAAGCATGGGATAAACAGAGAAGGATGTTTCCTGGGAAAGTCATGTGCACAGTAATTCTTCGAGGAAGGTACATATATCCCCGTGCAAACAAGGCAGTACAGCAAGTGCAGCAGAAAGACTCTTGTGCAAGGGCCTAGCACTCTCAGAATGGAGAGTAATAGTCTCATTGTAATAATGTCAGACATTTATTAGAAATAAAGAGAAAATAAAAGGAAAATCTGGAAAGCAATAACTATTGTTAATAGCTAAGAATAAGTGAGGAGGAAAAAAGTCAAAGAGAAAAAGAGACTTCAAGTGAGTTCCGACACATGGTATTCTGCACTAAGACAACATAGATTTATGCAAGAGAAGATATATAAAGAAATTTCTGGCTTAAAAAATATTTTTTTAAAAATTAACAATCACCTTGCAGAGATTTTTAGATATAAACCAACCTAGGAGGTGAGCAATGGATTAGGACTAGGTGACCTCTCAAGCTCCTTTTAGTCCCGTGACTCCAGCAACCACATATTTATAGTTATGAAGGACTAGTTTTCTTCCTTTGCATTTCATGAAAGGGAGAAAAATATTGACTAAATTAACATAAAGTATGTAAAGCAGCTCAAGAATATGTTATACATAAACTGGAATTCTGTAACGCTCAAAAAATAACATATCTAATATATAATATTTTAAGTGCTTGAGGATATGCACATTAAACTCTTCATAGGGAAGCACATTAGAATGAAATGGGGAAAAAAACCATTCTGGAACCTTCATTCCTGGGGGGAGGTGGAAACAGCAAAAAACAATGGTACATTGGGCTTTCAAAAAAGTATCTTTAAATGGTCACCTGAGTATTAAACTTAGACACCTAATAAAAGAAGGGATTAATTATATATTTTTATATTTCTTTTTACTTTTACAACTTCACAATATTGAATGGAATGAAAAGGGAATGTCTACGGCAAAATAGCATCCGTAGTTTCTCGAGATTAGGAACTTAATTTACTAAGTTGAATACCATTAAAACAACCACTGTCGATATCCAAATGCAAAGTGCTAATATACTGTAAATAAAATAATGCAAAATAGTTAATGTCTTTCTTGTTCTCTCTTTCGTTAAATAGGCAAAATAATTTATAGTCACAAAATACATTTACTAGAAAGAAATTTTTTTAATATCATCTTTAACATATAAAAAAAACAAAAGCAACAATTCAATAAGGATCCTTCCATTGTTCTTTATACAGATTTAACTGCTGTCATGTAATTTATCAGTTACATTTGTAATTAGTAACCTTCCAATCACTGAGTTTAGAAATTACAGTATTTATTTACTGAGCTAAACTCTCTCACAAAATAAGGCACAACTACATGATCACAAGTAGTAAACACAATACAAATAATGAAACTAAAAACCAAAAGAGAAAATATCCATGCAAAATTATCTACAGAAGCTATGATTCAGTTCAAGGAAGTACAGAATGTCATATACATAAGTGTGTCATGTTACAATAAATTCATCACTTCTACACAGAAAGAATTTAGCGACTTCTGATTCTATTTTATATAATTTACATAAATTTAGTAAGTTTATGCACAATATTCACATCTGCAACAATAACAAATTGTTCATTAAAATTCAGGCAAAGGGCAATTAAGACACGATAATGTGTGTGGCACATTATAATTACAGAACATCATTCATCAAGCTCATGTCTAGGAATACTAAATTGATGGCACATTTAAATCTTATGGATCAGAACATCCATGGTTTTATAGCCAAAGTGCATTTTTAAAAAAAAACTGCTATAGTCAAATAGGTCATGAATATCAAAACATATGATCATAATTTGCTTTCCACTTAAAAGCTAAACATTTTTATTTAAATGCAAGGTTAAAAAAAAGTGGCTTTAACATTCTTAAAACTATATAAAATAATCATAAAGACTTTTTAAGAGAGATGTTGGAAAATAACAAATTTGGCAGTTACTATTTAACATTACTGTGAGGAAACTATTAAACTAGCTAATTCCACATTAAGAGGTAGTTCAACAAAATGTTATTTGTATACTGCATTGAGGTTTTTGTGTTTGTTTCCCTCTTTTTTTTCTTAAAAATGAACAAATCCTATACCAGCAGCTTTGTCTTCTATTAAAAAAAAATTATATAGGTAAGGTTTTGTACACTAAACCAGCAAGACTTGATTTTAACTCACATTTCTGTGCTGGAGTTTGGAATTTACCAACACATGATGCCAATATGCTTTGCATTAAAGCCAAGAGCTGGAGCTCTCTACATGCCAGCTCTAATTCACCCACAAGATAACAGTACCAGCAAACATCTAAAATGGATAGCCAATAAAGACTTAGAAGGGGACTTTTTAATTAAAAGGAAAAAACACACTTTTGTTTTCAAAATACATTAAATTGGTAAGAGTTAATAGCAGAAATGTTAGGTTTCATTTATATTATCAGTTTACTAGGCTATGGTAGGTAAATTATTTGGGTCTTATGAAATGAAATTAGTTAGATAAAAATGAGAAAATCACTCAATCACATATGGTTATATTTGTTGTCAGGGGAAGGAGGGGACAGGAAGAAGGCCTGCAGTGCATCCAACTAGGAGATGAAGTGAACAAATATTCTAATCCAGAATTCTCATTACATTTTATTATCTTAAAAAAAAAAATAAACTGTGGTTCTGTGAATATCTGTGTTTTTCCAGCACATTTATTAAGTTATTTAGATGTAAAAGTAGAGAATTAAGACTATTTGGATTTATAAGTATATAAAAATGCATAAATAGCTCAGTTTATATTACCCAACATTATTTTTAATAAAGAGACATTGTATTTCTTCATTATATATGCTCAAGGATATATGTTTATCCAAGTACTAGGACTTAATCAGTTCTCTTAATAGCTATTGACATCAGGGTTTACTTAAATGTTTTTTTAAAAATAATTAAATGAATACTTTTAATTTATATATGTTGTAGGTATGGCATAAACATGATAATTTCATTTCAACATGATATCTGAAAGCAAACCTATACTATATACTATTTATTATAAATGAAATATTAACTCATTATTCTCTGCTATTATTAAATGATTACAATGAATGGATGTATAACTTTACATTTCTTCTCTAGAAAGAGTAATAAACCAACATTACTGGCTTATCTCTTTAGATGTTTTCCAATTTTCCAAATTAATAAGACTATGCATGCTAAATTACAGTTCAATTCCATTGTTTAGCATACAAAGAGGCTAATCCTTAATTATCCTTAAGGTGCTTAGCCATTCTGTTTCAGTTTTTATTATAACTTTGGGATCCCTAAATATGTGTGTTTTTGGTGATACTCTATTCTCCAGCTGTTACTTAAAGGTAATTTTACAGCATTATTTTTGCAGAGTTAAAAGATTTCCCAGTTGATATGGAACTCCAAACTCAGAACCATTTTAAATTTGTCAGTTTTACAACTTTTTAAAATTCTTTCCTATTTGATAAGAAGAAAATATAAAGTAAAATATTTAATGTCTTCTTACCATTTTGTATTTTGTTTTCACAGATAAGACTATAGCAATATTAGTTACTAGCTTTACAATGCAAAATTATAAAACAATAACAGTGAAGTTGAGCTATGCTTGGGAAAGTCAAACCAAATAAAGGTAAAAAGCAGATCCATTAAAAAGCAAACTCAGATTCCTGAAGGTGCTGAAGAGACAACATCACATAGGAGTATGACATGAAGGCTAATCTCAGAAGACTTGCCAGTTACAAGAAACCAAGAATAGGAACATTATACAAGTTCTATTATTCATCCTCCAACTGAGGGTGAGAGTGGGAAGCTTTGTAAGATTCTTAATGGACAATATATAATAGTTTAAAAAGGAGATAGAAAAAGACAAAAAGAAAAATTAACCCTAATCTTTAAAATATAACCTCAGTATAACCATAAATTAAGCAAATTGATTTTACAGAGTTTTTCATAAAATCTACCCAAAAGAATTTAATCAATATTGTTAAAACAAAAAACCATTTTTGAATTCATGGTTAATACACATTTAAGATAAACTTTATATAGAACAACCAAGTATTAAATTTATAACATAACAATGAAACTGAGCTATGGACCTATATTTAAGAGAAAATGGTAGTCAGAAAGTGTTATAGTTCTGTGCATGACTTCACAAAGAGAATAATATAATTAACGTGTTACTGTGCAACAAAAACAGCAACAAGTGATAACATCAGCCACGTACATTTTTGTACATTAAATTTAGGAGAAAGAAGTAAGCTATGGAATTATATTCTTCATTTGTGAACAATGAAATTATATTTAAAAAAATACATTGCTATTTTCTGTCCAAAGTTTATTTACATCTCATTGGCTAATTCTAAACTTGGCATGAAAGCTGTTCCAGGGGCCAAATGGAAGAAAGTAATGAAAGATGAGCCCAAGTCTCACAAAAATAGAAGAGTTTTACTTGATAACATTCCAAAATATACGAATTCTAATTTGGTCTAGTATTGCAACCAGTGTCCAAATCAAATAGTAGTCCAAGACCTCTATTAAGTACATTTATTAAAAATCTAATGTTAGTGTAATATTACTCTGAAGTTGTGATAGCCCATTATCCTTGCAAGTCATTGAAACATGCATCACAGACACGAACAGGCTTCTTGGAAGAAGGAGTTAAGGCATTTTTGGCTGAACACTCAGCACAGAAGATATTTCCACACTGTCGGCAGTGATGCTGTAAATGACAAAAATTAAACAATTTCAAGCATAAAAACTATACCAAAAGCATTACGAAACTACATGAATATCATAAATTATATTGAGAAGGTATATTAATTTTTGAGTGATTAGTGTATTACTTAATGATATAATTTTCAATATGTTAATTTATTCCCTTTGTCAAATTGAATGTTTCCTATTTATCCAACACTATGTTAAACATTTTACATGGAATTTATCACTAAATTCTCAAAAGAGCCTTAGAAGGCATTTAAAAAATGCTACCTAATGCACTTTTAAGTCCTACCTATTAAATGAAAACCTATTCTTATCCGTCAAATGCTTTAGGCATAATGTCTTCTACAGGAATATAAACTTGAAACTTAACATGATGGTATTATTTAACATATGTTTTTTTAAAAATCTCTCTGCTTTCCCTTCCTTTAAAAGAACCCAATGATGACTGAAGCATACGAAGTGAATATTGGCACAGTGGTTCAGAAAATGATTGTACCAGAGAGTAACTCAATAGGAAGGCAAAGACTGAATTTAAAACTAAAATTCAAACACCTGTTAACCAGAAACTAGATTATATGAAGTTTAATTATTCCATGGAGGTGTAAATTAACGTTTACCAATCAATAGAAAATTCTTAAAAATCCATCAAATGCAAGACTAGTCTGATGGTTATCACATTGTCACTCAGAAATGAAATCCAGAAATATAGCTATATGAACAATATCATTTACCCGTCTCACTGTTACAGAAAAGCCTTTCCCACAGGCCATACAGTTTTGTACTTCATTGTCTTCAGCCCACTTTCTATTCAACGCTTGTGTATGTTTGATCTATTTAAAAAAAAAAAAGTTTTAATACATTGTAATATTCAACATTTTAAAGATTAATGAATTATTTCTAATTAGTGCCAGACTTGTATAAAAATTTTACTATATGCACCAGGGGATAAAATCTTAAAAATCAGAAATACTTTGGTCAACTTCTATTGTCAAAAGTAGCTTTATTCATAAATCTAAATGACAAAATAAAATTAAAGTAAATCAAATCTTATTCCTAAAAGGCACTTCTAACATTTGGTGATTTCCCATCCATTCTAACTCTAATGATCAATTTTTCCTCAGGACTCTGAGGACATATTCGGATCACATCTTTAACACACAGGGACTCATACATTTTTCATTATTCTTGAGTTTTGTAATTCTTTCCCTGTACTGACAAGTCATGAATGACATGGCACTCTAACTAATCTCTGAGGTCTCTGAAAGTTCGGTATCTTTTATATTTAATTACCCATAAAACCAACAATATCGCTACACAGTAGCTATTTGAAAGTATTTATAAAATATATAAGACTTTTTAAAAAA